TATTATTACTCGGAATTGGAGGAACTATACGGATTGCTTATTTAGCAAAATTTAATATAATTTCGGCAACAAATTAACTGACGAACTGAATACATATTTATGGCCAATAGGCACAGTGGGCATTGGACATATCTTACATCGATATATTGGACTCATGTGCCAAATTCTCAAACAGGTGCTATTAAAATATTCTCTAGTTTGTATACTACATTAAGTTTACACTTTATCTTATATAGGTACAGATATTTTACAAACTAGGCGACAAATCTTAGTATTTAAACTAACTGGTAACAGTATTAACCAGCCATTATTACAAACTATTTTGGTACAACGACAATTTTCCATTAAAATAAACAGACATTGGACTAGGTCCATCCACTTTATAAACCAATCACGTAGGTAATAGTATTTTATACAAGTTTTGATTAGTTTTAGAGCTTTCAATATTTCCATTGTAATTAGGCTTATCAGCCATAAGATTTGTACCACCACAACAATAAATGTACTTATTATTTTTGTTAAAAATAGAAGTTCTATGCGACTCGTCGCAAATCGACGTCGTCAGTAGATATCGATAATAGAAAACCATGACAGCATTCTGTGACTCGCAGTCCCACTCCTGCTCTAGTAAAAGCCGCAAGTCCCTGCGACGCGGAAACTTTCCACAATCCGTTGATTCTGACCTAGACCTGGTAACCTTGGCCACGAAATGCGCTGGCGGCAGAAAATCGGCTCTATCGATCTGACTCGTCGGTCCCGCCCCCAAAGAAAGGATAGCAAATATAGGAAAAAGCGACTGGTCGCCCGGCTGGCGCCTTTAAGGGGTAAAATGTGAATGAGGTACAATAATCACTATAGATGGTTTTTAAAATTTACATTCATATTTATTAAGAGTCCAAATTCGTCATTAACTATGTTAGGGCGATAATATACGGAGTGTTCCTAAATGATGTGTTCGTGTTTCATAAATCAATGACCAATGACCGGCAGTCAGCACAAACAAAGACTCCGCCTCGTAGAAAGGATCGTGAACGAAAATCCACTACTTTCCCCCACTCTTTTAACGTTACAATGTGGATGGAATAAAAATGCTTTCTGCCGATCTTCACTATTTTTAAACGCAAGTTACTTATTTGAGATTGTAAAAAAAAATGTGGAATAACGAATGACGTAAAAAAATCCTAATACTGAGCCTTTATTGCAGGTTATTAGCAAATTGCATACTTGCTCAACAACAATTTAATTTAAAGTAGAATATTGGACTACCTACTCTTTAGTTGTTTATTGTTATAAGATCCATTTGTTTTGATTGTGTAAAACAAAGTAAATTCTTAGGTACTAGTTGTTAATTATTAATTGCTTTATAAAGCCACCAATAGGGTGAGACTTAAACACGCTAACGCGTACTTTAAAGAAGCAAGATAGCGTACTAATAATTCATGTAAAATAATTTATATAGTGTTGGTGATAACCCGAAAACTAACGTCGTGAGCAGCGAGGTGATGAATAACGCGCAGCATTAAAAGTCGCCTTTTTTACTGGAATAAGAATTTGAATCAATATGCAATTTTACTATCTACTGACGGAATTATCTCGTATCTTGAACTTGGGCGTGTTTGGGATCAAAAATCCAAATGGTCAAAATTTATATTTATGGCCGATTAGTCTGAAGTTTTGAACTTCGGGATATTGATATTCAGTAAATAAAATTTCTGACTCAAATATACAAAATTTATAATGACCAATCTCAAATGTTGAACTATTCGTTTCAAATTTGAGGTTTTAGGAGTATTAAGGTAGCTGCGTAAAATTTAAACTGCGCTTAGGTACAGTCTCCGAATGAAGGACTAGATTGCGAATTGGCCGAAATCTGTACCGGAAATTAAATCATAATTTCAAAGATATTTGTATAAAAAATAAGATTAAAAATTTTAATGGCGTTTTATACAGAGTGTCCCGAAATTAGAGCGCCGAACTATAACAGCATATTCTACGTTCAATATAAGCTCTAATTTCCTATATAAACATATGTCGAGAAACAGGGCAGGTCATAAAAAGAATGGACCTGAAAATGTTTTTGCCTGCTTAATAGCAATAATACAGGAACTTATAAGGCAACTTTAACCTTTAACCAACTACCAACATGGTCGCTGACAGATCGTTTTCCCAAAATATGTCGTTAAATATTCTGAGAAAATGAATTAAGTGTGTGGAGATTGTTGTTTAGAACGAAATGTCACAAAGTGCAGTTTAGTTTCTAAAAAAATTAAAAAGTACGCCTTGAAAGAGAATTGATAGGATTGTTATTTTGTTGTTGATTTGACATTTATGTTGTTTTTGTTCACATTCTTTCTGATTTTTTTTATTTGGTTTTTTATAAGTATGTGGCGTTTTTTGAAAAGGGAATTAATAGATACTCATTTTATTTATGGTTATTGCAATGGCAACCTGTGTGACGCTGTACCCCCGTACGGGGGTACGAAAGACGATCTCCACAAAGATAACAACCACATCGGAGAGTGTTTTCTAACATACATAGAAATCTAGCACAACATGGATCGCTTAGTCGATCTCAGGGGCAAGGAAAAGGCATATGAATATCAGGGAGTGCTAAACAGAATTGAGGGAAATAGCATTAAATACCCCGCAGTATTAAGACCGGCAGATGTCACCAATATTCCTAAAGCAATTGTAAACTTTACTGATATGAATTTTAAACCTCTTAACTACATTAATAACATTAATAATAATAAATAACCTGTTTGCGAAATATTAATAAAGAACCATTTTCAGGTCCATTTCTTCTAGGGCATGGGACCCCGTTAGGGGGCGTTTCATGGCATAGTATGTTTATATAGAAAATAATATACTATTATAGTTTGGTCCACTAATTTCGAGACACTCTGCATATTTTCAAGTAGATTTTTGTTGGCTTGTCAAATTATTTTTTTAATGGATGCTTATTTTTAAGTATTCTCTATACATATTAGAAAGAAAGTGTGATTCTAGTACCCAACACGTTGAAATAACATTTGACCAGTAAAGAACATTAAGATTATTTTCAATATCTCCAAATCATACATTTGAAACCAGATATATTGGAACCAGAGCAGAAATATTAAATTTGTAGAAATAAACATGGACGGATTTCCGTACTGGGTGAATCTCCTTTATAAACTTGCATATCGTTAGAAAAAACAAAGTCAAGAACAATACTGGCACAGACTGCCAAACAATTTTCTATGAAAATTGGGACTATTTCTAGAATTCTGTGGTTCTAAGAGTTTTCAGTAGAACAGGATGTTTCGTTTTACAGCACGTAACATGGATCCTGCGTTGTCTAACGTTGGTCTTCTTGTTACAAGAAAAGAGGAGAATTATGTTTTTTTTTAGATTACAAAAGAAAAAAAATGAAGTCAAATCAGATCCAGTCAAACAGGAAAGAAAGAAAGCTAAATCTAATACATCAGTTACTCCCAACCTTGATATTAATTCGTAAGAAAAGTTTATAGAACCAAATACCTACTGAAGTGTATGGAATTGTACAATGCACAACTAAGCCTATATTTTACTATTAATGAATATTGGCCTTCAGTAATTTTTGATTCCTCTTATAAACGTGAAATCTGTATTTTATTAGTATGCCAATCTATGTGGTTTTTATTTAGTGAGTGAAATATTTAATATAGTAGCGTTTTGCTGTTGCTTTATTTGTTCTACTAAGAGCTGCTTTGACAAATTTAGCCAAACACAGCGTGTCACTATCTCTAAAAAGGTGTACTAGCAAATGAATTAAATTAGACTGAAGAAGGTGAATAGTTGGATTTAACACCACAGGCGAATTTAAATTGGCTTGTCAACTTCTAGGTCATTCAAGGTCAATTTTTTTTTTTTAATAGATGCTTATTTTTTAAGTATTAAGTATTTAAGTGTTTTAAGTACTTATTAGAAAGAAAGTGTGATTCTAGTACCCAACACGTTGAAATACCATTTTACCAGTAAAGAACATTAAGATTATTTACAGCATCTCCAAATCATGCATTTGAAACCAGAACAGAGGATAGGTTGTCTCTTTTAATTATTTAATTGAAAGTTTCTTGGCATGGAGTGAAATTTTGGGCATAATGATTTAAATCATTTACCACTGTCAGATTTATGTAGATAAAGTTTTAAAATTACACTGAATCAAATTATCAAATCATGAGCTTTCATTTCTCTTTAAATATATTTATCGCACGTTTTCAATATCGTAGCGATAAATCAAATTCTCGTACATCGCTTACTAATTTGTGTACTTTTTACCTAAAAATTGAAAATTTTCAAAAATTTAAAATTTAACTACAATGGTTCTATTAATTATATAGATAATTTAGTCATGGCTGCACTCAAGAATCAACTAGGACCAACTCAATAAGGACCAATTCAATAAAATTATTAACCGATAACCACGTAAAATAGATTTTTATATTTGAGTTATATGTTGTCAGAACTCCAATAAATAATTGAGAAAATGATTTATCACTACTTACCACGGTCAAACTTCTTTCCTTCGGGATCTATGTCTTTTACGTTAAATATATCTTCGAACAAAACACCTGCCATTGCACAACACGGAAAAATACAACCTTAAAAACCTAACCGGCGAAAATATGTTTAATGCATACGTCCATTACCACCACAGAATACGTATCTCGTGCGGCATAAAATGAAATCATATATACCACAGACGACAGTTTCAAAATATCATTTAAGTTTAAAAGAACGCACTAATTGAAATTTAATACCAAGTTCAGTATTTCATATTACTACGGCTTCTGCGTATTTGACTACATTGTTCTTTATGTAACTTGTATGGTCAATTTTTGACCATGACACTGACATGACTGACATGACTGACATGACATGATACGACGGATGCACATTATGTTCAACCATATGTTAATATATTTTTTGCACACCACATTTGGCTTTTTATGTAATGGGTGAGACTCCTTTATAAACGTGCCTATCGTTAGAAAAACAAAGGCAAGAACAATAGTGGCACAGTATGCCAAACAATTTTCTATGAAAATTGAGACTATTTCTAGAATTCTGTGGTTCTAAGAGTTTTGAGCAGAGCACGACGTTTAAATGCTTATTTCGTTTTACAGCACGTAACATGGATCCTGCGTTGTTAAAGGAAAGAGAATTATTCAAAAGACGAGCAGTTGCTAGCCTAACGTTGGTTTCTTGTTACAAGAGAAGAGGAGAATTATATGTTTTTTTTAGGTTAGAAAAGAAAAAAAATGAAGCCAAATCAGATCCAGTCAAAGAGGAAAGGAAGAAAGCTAAATCTAATACATCGGTTATTCCCAAACTTGATATTAATTCGTAAGAAAAGTTTATAGAACGAAATACCTTTTGAAGTGTATGGAATTATAGAATGCACAACTAAGCCTACATTTTACCATTAATGAATATTGGCCTTCAGTAATTTTTGATTCCTCTTATAAACGTGAAATTTGTATTTTATTAGTATGCCAATCTATGTGGTTTTGATTTAGTGAAATATTTAATATAGTAGCGCTTTGTTATTGCTTTATTTGTTCTACTAAGGGCTGCTATCCATAGTGGAAACTTAATAATTTCCCTACTATTCATGCACAGGGTGTCTCAAACACAGTGTGTCACTATCTCTAAAAAGGTGTACTAACAGATGAATTAAATTAGACTGAAGAAGGTGAATAGTGAGATTTAACACCACAGGCGAATTTAATTTGAAAAATTTCATCTACCTAAGAAATTTTATTTTTATCAAATTCAATCATATATACACACATTTACATATTTTAAATTTTGTACACCCTTTATAGATTTAAATATTTGCCTTTTTGCCCTTTCAATCAGAAGACTTAAAATCATATAAACTGTGGTAAATTTGTAAGTAAGATTTCCCTTTCATCTTCCTTATCAACTAATAATTCAAGTGAACATTTAGATTTTTTCAAAACAGTTTGTTCCTCTATTCTTTTAGGTATAAAACGACAACTGGAAGTTCGCAATATCGGTTTGGTGTTTTAGCAAAAATTGTAAAACACATGAGACAAAGGCACCAGGAAGGTGAAACATATCCTTTAACATTAGATGAAATATTAGATGAAACAAATCAGCTGGATGCTGGCAGTAAGGTGAAACAGGTTAGTTTAGAATACTTTTACGTTTATTGTACTGGGTGAGAAAATGTGTTTACTATTTACTGTGGTTTTCACAAGAACTATTATTATAAAAAATATTTAAGAATGAATTTAATTGGCAATAATTGTTTTTTTTTATCAAAAAGGTTGATAATTAAAATTTAAAATGTTTAATACATAATATTTCATTACCATATTACAATAGTTGTTTTAGTGGTTGCAAAATGAAGCCTTAATTAATAATCCCAAAATTGAGGTTACACCAGATGGAAAGTTCCTATTCAAGGCATTGTATAAATTGAAAGATAGAAAAAGCTTACTGAAACTTCTAAAACAGCAGGACTTAAAAGGCCTGGGAGGAATTTTATTGGAAGATGTTCAAGAGTCTTTGCCTCACTGTGATAAGGCATTAAAGGTGAGGTGAGGCAGCAATAATAATCCTGTATTATCATATGCTTTTTACAGATTTTAAGTAGTCAAAATGAAATAATTTTTATATCAAGGCCAATAGATAAGAAAAAAGTGTTGTTTTACAATGACAGAACAGCTTTATTGACAGTTGATGAGGAATTTCAAAAATTATGGAGGTCAGTTGCTGTTGATGCTATGGATGATGCCAAAATTGAAGAATATTTAGATAAACAAGGTATTTTATTCGATATTTTGCCCCATTTTGCTAAAAATAATATTCTCTTGTGTGAAACTGATAATCAAAATTAGAATTTATTTCAAAAACTATATTCTGTTGTATTTCATTTCTTTAAAACATGTTTAATTGAAGCTCCAAGAATAGGATTTTAATGATTTAAAAATTTTTATTTATTTCTTGTGAAGTTTTCCCAAAAACTTTTGATCACATACGTATTCCTAGGCTAAAGAACCTAAAAAAATTAACAAATTACGGAATCTGTCCAGATTATCTGGATCAGACTTGCCCAAGGTGACACTTTAAAACTTTTGTAACTATTTAAAATACTGATTATATTTTGCAGTGCTAAACATCTCCGACATTAGAAACAACTAAAGAGACCCAGAAAACTAATAAAATGAAATGTAATATTAAAAAATTGACCAAAACTAGAACAAATTTTTAGAATTTTTTGAAAATAAATCTAAATGTTTTTTAGGTATTAGGTCAATGCAGGATCATGGTTTAAAGAAACCTGTAGCAATAAAAAGGAAGAAAACAAGCCAAAGAAGGAAAACATTTAAAAAGCCCAGAGATAATGAACATTTGGCAGATGTATTAGAAACCTATGAAGATAATACCTTAACTCAAAAAAATATTGTATAATTTCAAAGCTTACTAAAATTGATGATTTTTTAACAAATCATTATTATATTGTAATAACAGCTCAATTCGTAGCCAACCAAATGGGTTGGGATTACACATCATAGATAAATAAGTCACAGTGGAAGTCATCAACCATATTATTATCAATTATTTTTAAGAAAAACAGGACATTTTAGTGTCCTGTATACTCCATTAATATGCATAACACACGCGACAAGTTGTAAGTTAGGATCCTTGTCAAGATTTGATGGGAGTGGCATGTAAACACATTGTACTCTTGGAAATAAAATCATAAATTCCTTTAATAATCTATTTCAGAACTCTTTTTGATAGAAAATTCCATTATAGAAATATGAAACCAATGAAGAAAACCCATTTTAAGTGAATAGTTGGAGGGGTTACAATTTAAACAACAAATAAAGGAAATTAATTATTTTTCAGGACTGTGGTGTCCCGTTTTTCAATATATCGGAGTTGCTTCTTTTTCATTTTCTTTAACTTCTTCGAGTTTGTTATTACTTGAAATACCTCTGATTTCTTCCTATTTTCTTCACGTCTATGAATATTGTCACGTCTTCTTTGCTTATTCAATTCCTTTTCTTGTTGCTTTGCCTGTTTAATTGCATTGGATGATTCCTTTACTTTGTCCCGTTTCTCCTTAAGTAGTTTTCTTTTTTGAAGTGTGCTTTTGATACCTCTAGTTTTTATAATAGTTGAAAATTTCTTTTTTTCCGATTTCCAAAATCGGCCTGATTTCGGTATTCCTCGCGGAACTGTTGCATTATTTCCACTGTAAGCATATTGTACTTGTTATGTGTTATTTGAACACCTCAATCGAATGCACATAATAAACATCAACAAGACACTGCGAATATTTCTAATTAAAAAAACAAAAATAAAGGTGCGAGTTTTTTACGAGAGATATCTAGTATCGTATATAAAAATTCGAAACTTTGTCGTGATTTTTTTTGGCTGGATTTTATTTAAAACTTAAACCTTAGTTTTGGATAAATGTATACCAATAAAGCTTACACACCTATCTTTTCCTACGAGAGCCATTTCGAAATCGTGAACGTAAAAGTAAGGTTAATTCATAAACGGTACACCTTCCAGAACAAATTTTTTATTAGAGATGGCGTTAAATGTTTAACCGTCGTCCAATGTTGCTGTTGCAGTTTACGTAATTAGTGGATGAGATCATAGACACCAAAATTATAAGTTCGCTCAACCACAGTTCTATATAGAAATTATCGTCCCAAATATCTCCAAATATACAATTGTCAATTCCTATATCCATCTTAGCATTCATTCTGCTCACAAGTTGTGCATATTTTTGGTGTTTTATTTTCAAAAAAATTAAAATGGCTCGTGGATCTGTACCCGCCATTTATTTGACCGCAGCGGAGCGAGTTTTTAAGAAATGAGTGAGTTAAAAAGTTTACCGAATTTGTTGGATACTTTTTCTACGACCGTTAGTTTTTGGGAATATTTTCGCAAACAATACGAATACATTCACTGGCATGACGTCAGAATTGACAAACGTCAAAATTCAAAGCGTGGGAAATATCTCCGAAAACATCCGATTGCTCCCAAACCCGTGCGGTAAAATCTCGTAGATGTCCGAAGTGGCTCGGATCCGTGAGAAACGAAACTGACGTGATAAAGTGACGCTTCACGCACTCTAGATCGGTGCGTAATTAGGTATTTTACAGACGGGAGTCGAAAAATACAATTTGGAGTACTTCAGCTTTGGTGAAGTTTTTCATTTTTAATTATGTTGTTAGGACACACGTATAAGTTTTGGTAATCACCCCCTTCTAACTATTCAATTGCTTGCGAAGAGACTTATACTTAAGGTAGACTTAGATATTGTGTCTGGAACAATACGGTGTATTTCACGCACCAGGCCGCAGTGCATCAGGAAGGATTCTTTTTTCGGCAGAAACCAATCCCTTTTAAGATAGTTGTTGGTTAAATGTTATACTGTTGCGATTGGGCATCTTTTTGTCGCTACATTTGTGAAAGTAATATTGAACAAAGCCAAATGGAATTTGATTTTCTTTTACCTGTCAAAGTTTTGCTGACAGTCTGCCATACTCTTTGTATCATTGTTATAATTGTTTTGGCATATAATATTGCCATTGCGATTGGTATTACCTTGTTACAATAATTATATAAAAAAAACTACCCACTAATAATCTGACCGCTGTTTATGCCTTAAATTGCTTAGATTGATCTCATTTTTGGCCCAATATTTTCAGTTTATGTGTTAAGTTCAAAAAACTAAGAGGATATGAATTTTGAAGTTTTATATAACCATAACTTTGCTTTTCTGGATAATTTTCTGATTATATCGAATAAATATAGCAGTTTGGCAATACTGTAGCTGGATATTATTTGTCGATCACAGTTAAAATTTCACATTCAACAAAAAACGTAAACTGTGGAATTACCCATGAAGTTAGTTCAAGAAAAATTTTACGTGTGTAGTGCACTGCTTTGATTTCAAATACGCGGTAAACAATTCATGAAGTCAAATTTCTGCGTCATTTCAGTAATGTAACAATAATAAAATAATAATAAACCTGTTATTATTATGAAAAAATAAACGCAAGCATTAATCAAAACATTATCTAAACCTACATTAATATCGTAGGAAACGTGTTGTACTGGTTCAGGTGACGTCACTACAACAACATCAAATAAATCATCACCTGGCTTACATTTTGTTATAAATAACTCAAAGATTGTTCTCTTTTATTGATCTTGAAATTTCGCCATTAAAAACTATTCAATGAGTATTGTTGTTTCGAGATTACTTAAAAATCAGTTCATGGTCGCGACCTTTCCCTTTTCCACTTCATTTGATAGCGAACCACTTCGCAGTGAGGTTTCAGCGAGTTTGAAGAAACGAGCTAAAATGGTAATATTGCATTTTGTCTGTTGTTAAAAGCAGTCTTTTTAGTATTTTATCTATGAAATAATATGACCTATTTCAATATTTTTATTGTAATTTTCCATTATTGAAACTTAGCCTTTATAAAGCAAAATTGAAAATAATTTTCTTGAATATTTTAGCAACTAAAGGACTAAATACGACAACAAAATAGTATAATTTATGTTTGACGTTTTTTCAATTCTAAATCAATCAATCTCTATGAGTATAATCTCTCTATATATTTTAGTCTGACAAACTTTCCTCTGAGGATAGAGCAACAACTTTGTCAAAACTAACTCAACAAGGTTGGGCAGTTCTGGAAAGCAAGGATGCTATTTACAAAGAATTTGTATTTAAAAATTTCAATCAGGTAAGAAATTACTGAGTATATATTTTAACTTAATGAAAAATTCAGAAATATTTTTTTTGAAAATTTGCTTTATGTAATAGCGTGTGAAATCAAATAGTTATAACATATTGATTGGTTTTTAGTTAAAGTGACTAGTGTAGTATAGCAATAGACCATGGTTTTAGTTATTTTTTTAGTTTGACATTAATTCTGCAGTTATCCTTGTTTGATTTCAGGCATTTGGATTTATGTCCCAAGTGGCACTATTTTCAGAAAAAATGGACCATCATCCAGAATGGTTTAATGTTTATAATAAAGTTAATGTTACTTTAACTTCTCATGATGTCAAAGGTCTCAGTGGGAGAGACATGAAGCTAGCCAATTTTATGGATGATGTATCAAAAGGTATTTCACAGCAGGTATAAATTAATTTAAATATATGGTTTTTATGGATGGTATTTATTTTTATACAATTGTTCCTCAGATATTATGACATGTGCTGATGTTGTTTGTATCTATAATTGTAATTATTTTAATTTGTTACAATATAATTGTAATATAAACAGATTGCTTTTGTACTGCTTATGGGATTATATAATAAAATGCTTTCGTTTTCAACATCGAAAATATATTAATTTAATTGAAAATTAGTCATTGGAAAAAAACGATTTTGGATCAGGAAAATTTTCAAATTCCACTTTTTTATATCGAGAATAAAGTAAATCTCTAAGTTCCATGCTGTGAGAATAGTCTCTAGTCTCGCAGACGACAATAACCTAAAATTTATATAAGTAGATCAGAAATTGTCAATGAAAACAAAGTTGAATATGTGAACAAATGCTATTTAAATCCTTACAGCAACACTAAACACGTCCTCTGTAACCCAAGCTCTTTCGTGTACGACATCTTTAATTGAAACTCCTATAGAACTTAATACTCTACAGAGTTCACATATTCCTCCGGGTCTGTCGCTGACAGTGACTTTGCATTTCACCAATCGTCCGTCAGCGGCCAAACCTCTCTCTAAACATCTTCCCAAGATGGTGGTGTCTATGTTGCCGCCACTAATTATTAACACTACTCTGAAAATATAAATTAACTAATTTTTAAAAATCTATTGAAGATAAGAGTTAATATACGTAAACTATACTATGACAGCCTATTTTATATAGTTTTATATGTACTCATTCCCCAGGGATTGCAGATTATAAGCTTATGGTGAACGAGAGGTACAACTGTTCTGAATATTTGGTCATTTACATAAATGCTAACGATCTATCGATAAAATATATTTGCATCAATATTGATATTTTAAAAGGGACACCCTATATATTATTGGATTTTCCGTCCCCTCATCAATTTCTAGTTACTTTTTTTTATAATAGATAGATTCATAGAGAGCTAAAATTTTGACTATAGTTTACGAAGATCTCATGCAATAGTTTATGTAGACAAGTACACTCTGTAACACACAAGGGCGCTCAGAAGGTGGTTCTGGAAGACAATCCTTCATAAGCATAAAATGCATCCTTACAAATGTACTAACCAAAACTAAAACCAGAGGATTATCAAACTAAAAGTAAATTTTGTAAAACATAATTGATCCTTACTCAAGAAGATCCTAAGTTTTTCATATTTTCAACAGACAAAACGAACATCTCTGGGCTTGCAAAAATCCGAATATTGTTAAGCAAAAGGGATTCCAAGAAAAATTTTCTTTCAGCCTTTATGGGCTTCTGAAATATGATAAAATAAGTTTTTTTAAATTTACGATGAAACACTAATTTCTGAGAAATTCCTGCAAATTTTAAGATCAGTAGTAAACGATGTTTTTCACTACCCATCCTTAAAAGAATATTTGATCTGTTGTTTTTAACTGGCTGAGGCATCGGACTTATTGCAGTGAGGAACTAATAGAGGTAGGTAAACAATTTGCGGATGTCTTCGGATGTTGACTCTGTCTCCCTGACTTCTCACCAAACATGCTGTTGACTTTTTCAGAGCGCTGTCTAAAACCGTATACATCTTCTGCATTTCTCCTGCGTCGGGTATTCACTCTGAAGCCTGCAGTATGTTTGTCGAAACATTAGCGAGACAGAGTCAATATCGGATGCAGGAGAAATCCAGAAGATATGTAAATGTTCCACAGCCTGTTGAAGATACTTTAAAAAATTTATAGCAGAATTGTACGAAATGTTGGATCGTCGCTGGTTCAGAATCTTAGAGCCTTAGAATTGGTCAGTGAGTACACATTTTAATTTTTACTTCTGGAGCAATTTAAAAAGAAGCATGTACAAAGTAAACAAGAACTGCGGCAACAAGTGTTCAGTGCATAAGGAGGGCCACAACTGCTTCTACGGGAATATGAATTTTAAAATTTTAGAAGAATTTATTTTACATTTTTTACTATTTGCTGAATACGGTTTTGTCGTATTTGTTATTTAGTGTGTCTACACTAAACTTATTTTAACATTAACATTGTAGAGTAACGAACAACAAAAACTTTTTTTACCGCTTTCCCTTGAATTCTTCCAATTGGCCCGCCAAAATCGCCGCCAAACCGCACGCGCCAGCTCCTTCAACGACGCACTTTTCATTTTCTATAAATCTCAAAATCGCAATTGCAATCCATTCTTCTTTTACTACCACCTAAAATTTAAATTAATGGAGTTCAACTAGCCGACCGGTGGGTTGAAAATGCGAGGATGAATTTTTTGGACATACCTAGAGAAGTGGGGTTGTACTTGAGTAGGTATGAGGTCGCTTAGGTCAGACAGAGGTATAGGAGAAATATATATCAAACTTATGGAGTAGTTCAAATAAATATAAGTCAAAAAAAGTGTCAACTTGTGTCCAAACCCATATAAAATCATTATTATATCAATGTAGAAAATATCTAACTACTAACCAACTTATCAAGTAGGTCTTTGGAAGTTTCCCAGGAATTATAGCCTACTTGAGGAACTGCTAGACCATCAGCCAGGGTACCTTCGATGGGTATGTGTATTGGTGCTTTGTTACTGATGGCCTTTGAAAAACTTGCACATCTTTCCGACTCGACGCCCTACAGAAAAGCGGGAGTTTTATTTCGTTGATTAATCATGATCTAGGTAAGCTTTCAACGACAAAAATACAATTTACTCAGTGTCAGTAACGAGAGTAGTACCGCTTCCCTCGACTTCGCGATTTTATGATGAAGATAAAACAGTCAAAATAAAACAGGGGACTATACGCTTTAGATCTTGAGTATTGTGTTTTAATGGCAACGTTGCCGCCTGCAAGTAAGTAGGTTTGAGTTTGATTGCAGTTGTTCGCTTCCAATGAACTTCATTCTTTGTATCATCTGTCATTTTAGCTTAACTTATGTCTTATCCTTCATGGCATAATGGAATCAATGTATAGAAAAAAATTGAGTCGGTGAAATCAGATTTTTAGAATAAATACAAATAGCGCAGTAGATTCAGCACATTGGAAAAATAAGTCTTATGAGTCAAAAAAGGGCGATATTTTTACATTTGGATAAAATACAGTGTGATTCACGTTGATGGTTTGTGAAGAAATAAAATAGGCATACAGGGTGTCCTAAAAGTGGGACACGCACAGAAATCTTCATCATTGTTTTTTAAATTGAAATTGAACGCTGTAATAGATCTACTAACTAAAATTATCATAAAAATCGTATTAGCCTTTATTTCTTTTATTAGCGCTAATCTTCAAAATAATAGGTACGGTATAAATCTGTAATTGGCAACTTCCGAAACTAAATTGGCCAAATTAAAAACATCAAAACAACTTAGGTACAATATTTTTTTAAGAAATATGTCCTAAAATAACGAATTTTAGGAATTTCGGGTCTTCGAAACTTGGTGTTAAAATATTTTACAACTTACGTTTTGAAAATGATTAAATGACAAAATATACCTCTATATGTTACCACGTACTATGATTTTGATATTGGGATTGAGCATCTTCACAACAACCGCCACTCCTGCCAACAAACCTCCACCTCCCGTTGGCACAACAATGGCGTCTATGTTTGAAACCTGTTCGAGTATCTCTAGAGCAATGGTACCCTGACCGGCAATTATATGTGGGTGGTCGTAACCATTAATATACTTCAAATGTCTCTCTTTGGATAATTTGTATGCTGCTCTCTTAGCTTCTTCCATATTTTTTCCTTCGATTATTACGTTGGCGTTGTAGTGGCGACATTTCTGAATTTTCATGATGGGGGCAATGAGCGGCATTACAACGGTAACCGGAATACCCATCTGGTTTCCGTGATAAGACACCGCCAACGCGTGGTTACCAAGTGAAGCCGCGATAATGCCCATCTTGCGTTCTTCAGGTGTTAACATTATCATAGCGTATCTTGCGCCCCTCTCTTTAAAACTAAGATAAAATATATTGTTTTTTTAAAACAAAGCGCCATACAGTGAATAATTGGCTATCTGGAGAAAAAAATTATTTGAACTTAAACAGAGTGAAAAATATTTTTGCTCACTTTAAATAGCGCCCACTAAGAACGTTAACTTTGTTCAAATTGCTCTTAAACTCTGTGTGCTCCCGCAAATTCGGATTCAAATTTTTTTAAAATAAATGTTGGGAATCAATTATTGTTTACTACAGGGTTAAGAGATGGATTTAAGAAAATCGGAACAAAATCAATCTTATTTTTTGTTGTACAATCTACAACGCAAATAAAATTACCTACCTGCCAGTGGTTTGCAGAAAATCCTTTTTTAAGTACAGGTCCATGCCAGTGAATTCAGATAGATGAGATTTCTGAAAATATAGGACCCAGTTTTAAATATCCTAAGAGTCGCCCCAACACAGATGTTTACATTTTCAGATCCTATACCAAAAACATATTATATTAGCAGTCACTTCTTCCTACAGCAGTGGAAAATAAATTGTTATTAGTTTTGGCTTGGTCAGTTTATTCGATAACTTATTGATTTTTTCGTTCGGTTTATTCATTTAATATTTTAAATGCAAATTTGTAGGTGTTTTAACACATACAGTTGGTTTTTAGTTGGTTATGGACGCTATATTAGAGGACCTTCATGCCATCAGAGACCGCTGAATTCTTTGATGGCATTAAAAACTTCAATAGTTCTTGAAAAATATCATTTTACCATAACGTAATTGCAATAACACTTACATCACATGGTGTATATACGATGCCTCCTCTTGTCTTATACGCAGCGGATGTTATTTCTTCAAAACTGATTTTAATTGGTTTTTCTGGATTACATACCGGATCGTCGATTCCATCCGATTCCTAAAAAACAGTCGAAAGCACTAATATTAAAGTGACAATATTTTGGCATATAGAAACAGTCGCTTCACTATTTTAGTTACCAGTTACAAGCTGTGAATTTTAGTACTCTGTGTATCAGTTCATTCAATGTTGTAGTCGATTTAAATCCGAATTCCCGTTATAATTCTGTTTTTTTTATGTTTTTAATTTTAAAAATAAAAGGCTTGTTTGGTTTGGCTAAAATTTTCGGTTTTTATGTTACGGCAGTAACGTTCAAAGGTTAAATTGTGCTAAAAGATTGTAATTATTATTTTTGGGATATACTATTCTGTACAAATTGCAATGTCCCAATAAAATCGTACCTTAAAGGCAACGATAACTTCTGTTGAAGGGAAATTTTCACGTAAATTGGTGAAGAAAAAAATGGTCTTTCGAAACCCAACGCAGACCTCACGAGTTCGTATCAATCGAGTAAACTATTGTAAGTTGATTTTTTTTAATACAAGGTACTCGGAAATTAGAAGTGATTATACTCGAATAAACACGTTCCTATACTTAGACTAGATCGATAACACAGTCGATATAAACATATTGTCATGTAATTGTACCAAAACTCATTACAGTTTTGTGTAATGTATTATGTAACTAAGGGAAACTTAAGTATTAAGTATATCTAACCGAATATACTTCAGATTTCAAAGTAATTAAAGTATTAAGCAAATTATTTTCTTAAAATATTTAAATTCAACGAAAGACGCTAAGATGTTAGTGACATCGGTAAAATAATTAAAACTTCGTAAAAATGTCTTTAGAAATATCTGACTGTACCTGATTTTTGTTCCTTTAGCGAAATATATTAAATTGCAAAAATTATATTTAAAATGTCATAATACTCATTCAATATGATTGCATATTGCTCATTTGCCCACACGAAATCCGGAATTTTTAAAATCGAATCGTGGTTTAGAAAACAAAGTAAGAAAAATGTAATGGGGATGTTTAAATGTCAATCAATATTAAGGTAAATATCAATGTAAGGTATCTTTCACTTTTATTTTCAAAACATTAAAAACAACGGTTTCTTTTAGAATCTATGCGAAGATCTTAGTGTTTTATCTGCGTTTTGTTTTTTATTGTTGTATGTTATTGTATTGTAAGATTCAATCATATGGCAATGAGTATTAATTATTATTTAAATAAAATGTCAACCTTTTAATAGTGAATTTATGTCTATTTTGCTAAAAGAACGAATATCAGTATTTAATTAATAATTAATTAATTAATTAACATTGATGACGTTATTTTGTTTTTATTTCTTTTACACACTATAGTCTTAAGTGCTTAATTGAGTGTTACTGCAAGCATTTTCTATTAACTCCTTAAAACCATATTGCAGAATTTGATTTTACAAACGGTTATAAATTGGATAAAATGTTATCTCTACGAACATTTATATAACTAGTCAAAAATTTAACAGCTTCTATTTGAATTGATAGGTTGTAGACTGGGTTAGTAAAAAATCAATTTCCTAAATTAATATTGTTCTAATTTACATATATTTATATTTCTTACATGAAACATTTCCATTTTACACACTTATGTCTTAAACTAGATTCTGCACTACCACTGAAAGTTTATTTACAGAGTTGATTTTGGTACCAGCGTTTAAACAAATTTAAAAGATGATAAGGCATTGATAAGTATATATTGTTTTTGGTTTACAAAACCCAACAGATAACTTTCTCGGCTCAAATCCATAAATATGCAATACAATATGTAGTTCATTTTACAAGGTTACTTAATAAATATAGCAATATACTGGATCATTTTATTAAAGGCTTATTAAATTAGTAATTGCCAATGTATTATTTAATGAAGGTAAACCAAATGTACTTCAATTTTCCAAATATCTAGTTGAAATTATGAAATGTTCGTCAACCAAGGTTAATTTAGAAATCTAGTTTAATATTATTAAGTGCAGTATAAAACATTCAAACATATTTTGTTGCCAGCGTTACAGGGATTGAAAGAATTAAGAAGTCTGAGTCAACAAATAGCTTCTGGGAGCTATTGTATTCGCCAAAGGATAATAAAAAAGATTGCGAGCAATAACATTTTTTATACATATACAAAACATCTTACAAAGGATTTAGATTAAGTTACTACATCAAGGGGTTTTCTAATTTAATCGGTATTGTTGTGTTCCTTTTCTCTTTGTCGGACTGCAACGGCAGTTTCTACGAGCAACCGAAGGCCTTTAAATTTGATGTTGCCTGGATCTTCCAACAATAACGGATCAGGATCGATCTGATTGGCAGGCATAACTTGAACTTTTGGGCTGGAAATAATAGGTTTTTTTATATAAATAACGAATTTTTTTCTCGATTCTGATACGCATATTTATATTCACGCAGTCGTGAAACATGTGGACCAACCTACATCCGTTTCATTAAATATATTGCATATTCTCATAATAGATTGTCGACAGATAGAACTGTAGAAATTTAACAGCAATATACCTACATAAGTACTTCAGTAAGGTGAATACCGGCTGTCAATATTAGGCACCCCATAACCTCTAGATAGTTTTGTGTATCAATGAAACGAAGTCTAATGCTAACAAAGTATAAAAAATATATTCATCCTGTTGACACCAAACGCCGTGTTCTACGCCAGTAGCAGACGTCACGTGAAAAGCGTCAATAGGAGCATTTGAATTTAAGCGCAAACGATTAGAACATGTAAAATCATATTGGATTCAAATCGTACCAACGACAAAAATTTTTTAATAAAAAAAACTAAGCTAACATAAATGAAAGCGCCTAGTACCTAGTATAACCGAGAGTCCTGTTCATAGATGGCGCCATTGGAAATTTTCTTTTAATCGTAACACCATCTACATTATGCCCACTTTTGATTTTAAAATTTGTTTATTAGGTATTGGTTACAGGTCCACTTAAATTACAAATGAAAATTTACAAACGGCTAATGTCTTTCCCTCCAAAAGGCTCATGGAATTTGAAAACAAAAAGTAATAACTTAATTTTTTAATTATACGTTCAGGTCTCCCTTGCTTGTACGTTTTGTTGGGTTCAAAAATAAAAATTACAGGCTTACCCAGAATAATTGTTAAGATTTGTAGAAACTGTTTCATTTCCAATATTCCATTTAAATTTTTCATCTTCACTTGAACTATCATAATAATTGACAGCATCCTCTTCAGAAGGATAAACTAACGTAAAACTCTCATCACTATCTTGAGGCAAGTGAATGCGCTTGGCTAGTATGGAATCAAATTCATTACGCCACCCAACTCTGCCATAATCAGCTCTCATAACAGCTAGCTTTTTACCTCGCCTCGAAATTGTATAATTTAAGGGGTCGTGGCCTTCACGCCTTATCATTTCAGGAAGAATCCTCCGACGAGCATTTATGAACCAATTACAAACTTGTAAAACAGTAAGATTTGCTTCTTGGGAAAGTGTAAGCTTTTCAGCGTCGCTAGGATATGCGTTGTATCGATGCTCATACAACCAACGCTTTAAAATTTTCACGGAGTGTTTCGGCAAATTCCCTCTTCGTTTTCGTATCGGCGTGAGCCCTACCTCTCTTAAAGATCTGGATGAAAAATTAAGATTTTGAACGAAATCTTCATGATCGGAAGTCGATGCGTTTCCATCGGTGCTGCTGTTGGACATCGAACTTATATCCAAGTCTGTTTTAAACATATTAAAACTTGACGAATTCATTTTCACTTGAAGAGCATATTTTTACTTTTGGTTGGGAAGATAAGTAAATAAACAAGTGAAACATTGATGTTTAAATTATCCTGCGCCAACTTTTTAAGAGAGCAATAAATGTTTGCATTTTAGGTAGTATAATTTAATCTTTCAATTCAAATGTTTGAGTAAAGTGCAATTTTCTTTTCCCTTTTGGCCAATGAAAGAAAGTAGGCAACTAGCAATTTTCATCTTTTCTGTTACAATAAGTATGACAAAAAATCCATCTGACGTCACAAATAAACTAAACTACAAAATGTGAAAATTATGTATCTACATATCTAATAGTTCTGTATATATGCAACCTACGTTTAAAGTTGTCCAACAGAACAACTATAAATTTAGGTTTTGATTAGCTGACCCTACTGTAGCATTTTTAATTTCGTTTCCGTTAATCAGTTTGTTTTCAGCACCAGATGGTACATAGTTTTTTCGTGTATTCAGTGCAGATCTTGGCCGAACCTATATTTTTCAAAATATCTATGAAGTTGTATTTTTCTTGTTAGGTTCGTAACTACACATTTGTTTTTTTTTTAACTGACACGTTACCAACTAAATCAAAAATATACTCTTACAAAATAATCGGCAAGTGATGTAAAAACAAAATTAAACGAAATGAATGGCCCAGTAGACAATTGAACAGCAACTATTAGGTAGGTAAGTCATTTTCATTTTTGATGGATTGTTTTCGTTTTCACATTTTTTTAAAAGATAATAATAACCTAGTTTTAAACACAAAAATAATTATTTATATTCCACTTCAACAATCAGACTGCTGGTTTAGTTTTCCTTTATTTCGAATTCAACGACCCATAACCATAGATTGAAAATATTTTTTAGGTCATTAATTTTCTTCACAGAATAGACACACTGATTGATATTCTTCTTCTCTTTTCACGCTTCTCGTAGGGCATTTGAGGGATAATACTATATACTATTTGCATTCAGCTGGGAAAGATTGCTCAGATTGTGTTACCGGTTTCTATTTCAGCTATTCTCTAGCTAACAAACTAACTAGCTAACATCGTGTGCTTTCAAATTATCATACCAGTCGATTAGAAAATTGTGATATGACCGAATGCTCTTGGTAACTTGACTACAAGAAGCAACAAAGAAGAAATTACGGCAAAATTCAGAAAAATAAAAAACTACGATTATCTGAAGTTTAAAGTTTGTATGGAGGGCGAAATTGAATGGAATGTTGTTAATGAAAGCCAGTTATTGGATGCGATGGTTGGTCACAAACCAGTTGGTGTGTAAAATTTTTGTTTATTGTTAGCCTTACTAGTGGAATATTTCTAGGTATAAACAAATATTTTCAAATGGTATTTATTTGTGACAATTTTTCAAATAGTTTGCATAAGGATGTTGACTCGCAGAAAATATGGGACCACCTAGAGACAATGTACAATTTGGAAGCTTTAGATGAAAGTGAATTATTACCATTTCCAAACAGTGAAAAAGAATTTTCGTTGCCTGAAATTGATTTTGGGAGTTTAGTGATAAAAAAAGATGAATGGTCTTCAAATTCGGATTCTCCAAAACTCCTAAGAAAAGAAGACAAGATGTCTATGAAAAATATAAAAGACAATTTATTTCATAGAGATAACAAAGAAGGTAAAGATAATAATAAACAACCCACAGGAAAAAGGGAAGTAAAGAAGGAGTCAGAGAAAAGCAATAAAGCAGTTAAAGGAAGGAATTCTTTATCAACAGCAAAGGAGGAAAAAAGTAAATCTAAAGAAGAATCTGCAAAACCTGTTAAAAGGCCTACAAGAGGTAGCTTAAAACCAAGTGATGATTCTGGTTCTAATGGGAAATCCAGCCCAATCAATGTAAGCAATGTAAAACGAAGAAGGATATAAAATTCTATTTTAACAAAGTAGAATGCTGAATTTTATAATACTGGATTACAATTTTATACCAATAAAGACATGAATAATTATGGAATATGATCATATAATTTGATTTAACCTGGTTAAATTTTTCTATATATGTATGAATATCTATATCTTAAAATCCCAGTGAACCACTTCATAGTATTTTCACATTTTCTGCATCCTTAAGTTTTGGATTTTTTCATATGCTAAATTCACTGAATTAGAGGTGGTGCCAGTTTTTATAAGTCTCCAGATCATTAAGTTGATGAAATAGGTCTGCAACTTGAACTATTTAATTACTATTAAAAATAAAAATGAAAGGGAGAGTAATATACCATAAGTAAAAATTATAATGGGTGTGATCTTGATTTTCATTGGTACTTGGCAAATGCCCCTTGCATTTTTTGGAACCATTAAAGATGAGAAGTTGTCAATGATAACATGATAAACAAAATGTTAAAAGATTTTTTAGATAATTTTGATGCTATTGTACGTTGATGGTTATAAATGGTTGCCGTCATCTTAATTTTAAAAATATATTCTCTTTAAAATGACTAAATTAATCTTGATTTTTCAAAATAATAAAATAAAAATTATGGTATAGGCAGTCGCTTACCAACTAATACAATTTTATTATGCCGTGTTATATTGCAGCCACATTGAGTACTTACTTTAAAGAGTGATACAAATTTATGTAACTTCCTGTAAAGTTTCAATTTAAAATGACTCATGCATCTCATAAAAATAACCTAAAAAGGTAGTAATTTTTTAAAACCCTATTCCCCAAATTATGACTCCACTGGTTAAAAAAATTAAGGTGTGGGGAGACTTACTTTATAATAATATACACATAGCACTTTTTGTTCAGTTCAGGATATGATGATTGTGTTGCCCTTGTTGCTTCTAAAAATAATTCTGGGTGTAATGGAAATTGCAATCCATAGCCGGTGGCCGTTTAGAACCCAGGTAATTCCAAAGTATCTAGGTGACTATATCAATCAATAAAACAACGGTGTATATAAATTTATTCATAGTGTGTAGAGTACAAAACTACCTTTCTAATCTACATAAAAATGCATGTTTGGACTCACAGATATCATTCCGATAATATTTATTATAAAAATCTAAAACTACATTCTCAACTTTAAATCCAAACTTTTGGTAAAGAAAAAACGCTGGGTTATTTATGGATACATGTAAGGTTATGTCCTTCCCCAAACTGGTCTAAAAGAAAAAAAATTCTGAAAAAAGTTACAGAATTGTGGCAATAATTATTGGTATTTTTTACATTTAAACCACCAAACACAAAAAAACGATATTGAACAAATATAAATATAATTATTTGTTTGCTACCTTTACTAAATTTTCAAGTTTAATAATTTCTTCAATGGATGGAGACCATTCACTCTCACTCTCTCTCTCTACTCTTGCTCAAGTACCTTGCTAATTGTACCTACCTGAATAAGATGGTAAATCATAAATTTACCAATTCCACAATTTCGCCATCCCGGTCTTGTGAATACAAAGGAAATATAGTTTTCAGTGTGGTTCACATCAGGAACTAGAAAGGCAAAACCGACAACCAATCTTTTGTACAAAACAACGCAACTGAAATCTGGATACTGAAGCGACTCTGTTACTATAAATAAGTAAATAATTAATGAAAAAGCTCTGACGGCAATTCTTTATTAAAAATGGACACTAGAATTAGATCATGTAATGTAAATTCTTTGCGGGTAGATTAGTTTTAAGCCAAATTCCATATAATTATACTTACAATCGATGCCAGACCAGAAAAACTGATTACAAAGACTATTGATGGCAGGGATATGTTCTGGCTGAACATAAGTAAAATCAATAGGAGCTCTTGGTAATAATTCAAAAGCTGGGTTATTTTTGTTTGCTGCTAATTGTACCTCCGCCATTAACTTTAACCTAGAATTCATATGTATAAAAACTTCTTTCTATCTACTAATCGCCTGGACTGCTTACCAACTAGGAAATATTTGGGTATCTCTTCTTATATAAGGTTTTAAGTATATAGCACTGTATGGAGACAAGATAATTTCTTTTCGTATACCGCCTGTAAGTTTGATTTGCAGTTTTTGCATTTTCATTTGAGATATATCTAAAAACATATATAAATAATGTATCTGTTCCTTCTCTTAATGGATTACTTCTTCAGTAGTGCATCTATAATTATGTCTAGAGTTTTTAAATCATTTTGTTTTAATTTAAATTTATTTAAAAATATGATTCAAGGTTACTAAAAAGTAAAATATGATCGTAGACTCCTTGGATGGGCAGCTCCTAATGTTTCTTAAATCTCAAACTTTCAACTTTTCAAATTTGCAAAATACAAAATTTTCTTTGCGCTGAAATTATTTTAAAAAAATTAGTGCTGGTGAGTTGTATGTAGTTGGTTCCAGGTTCCCTTGGGAGTATATTATTCCTCTCTCAAAAAAACACACTGATGGATATTTATTTCCTAATATTTCTCTCTCTACTTTTTTTTCTAATGTAAAAAAGTGGGCATCCACTATGTGATAAAATGTATTGTGAGAGTTGCCCCCTCTACTTAATTATTACTAAGCAGTTTACTACTAACTACTGCTAAGTACCTATACATAATAAATTATTAAAAATCCTTACTATTAAGTGAAGTGTTATAATGACAAAGTGGATCCAGTAACCGTAAGGGCTGTCTAGATTTACTTTGTTCTCTGCTCTTGTTGATTTTTGTTTCTACGGTGTCATCACTAACAAGAGATTCATCAGGTAGAAAGGATACATGAGAAGCTAGTTTAAGTAATCTGAAATGTAAGTTTAAAGTTTTCAACTCTTAAATCTACAATCATCATACTTCCTGCTTGAAGCTTCGCTGTAACTGGGCAACAGCATTTTCTTTTTCATGTTCTTAGATTTCTAAAAATAAATTAAGCAGGTACAAATAACATTTTAAATAAAAGTTGATAGGCATTCCGGTTAACAGAAGGACATGGAGTTTTGTTAATAAATTTAGATATAGACAATTATCTATAGTGCAATCGGGACAATATTATAGTTCAAAAGCTATTTGTTCATCCAAACTCTGCCACTTGTTTGCTTTCTTAATTTAGTTGAAAACTGTTCCTTTTGTTATTAGAACCTTAAAGTTTTTTAATACAATGTAATGCAAAAAATAAAAAATGTATTTTACTCATAAGTTAAATAATTTTTGTTTTTGTTTTAATATACCTACTCTCTGAGAACGAGTCGGAAACTGGTATACCCCATTGGGTTGTGACAGTTTTGCACTATATTCAATACATTTAAAGCAAGTAGCTATTCGATAAATTGAATATAGAGACTTCAACTATGCTGACAACACAAGTACCTCTATAACAAATATAAACAAAAATCCCCGGATCATTAATCAATACACAGACCTTGGTTTTCGATATAAACCCTGACTGTGAGTGCGGCAGTTTCCACTTTGTTAAGTTTATGGAAATAGGTGTTTAAAAAAAGTATACAATTTAATGTGTGAAATTTATGTTCATGTACACATCATTTCATCCCAGACACCTGAGCCTCATAGCTGAAGGGTAAACTGCAGAGTCATTATGGTGTGCGAATTCCAAAGGAATTCAAAGTATAACAGAATTTACATGTACACTTTTCCCTCTGCAGTTCACCCCTCCATTTAATGCCTCTTTGGTTTAAACACATCAAGATAATCAATATAAGTAAATCAACAACAAGAACGTCAAAATGGTCCGAAAAAATTAATATTTTGGAAACCAAATATTCACAATATTGACAATAGGACATGAACATCAGTGAAGTGTAATTCTAATATTTTAAAGCTTATGTTAGTGTACAAAGTATATAGGATGTCCCAGAACCATGACACACATATTATTTATTTTAAATATAAATAACCTCCCCCACCCTCCCTTAAGTTTGGTTACCCACTTTCGGATAACCTAATCTGCATTAAACCAGACATAATATATAAATCTCTGTAAACCTTCTGAGTTTGATCAAGTTCCATTTCATTTTGTTGCAAATTAACTTTTTCTATATTAAATGTTTGGGTCAATTCTTCATTCTTTATGTGTTTTTGAACTATATACTGAAACAACTCTGCATCTGATACTATTTTCTTTTCATTTTTCATTTTGTTTCTCTGTTTCTCTAATGACATCTGGGAATCTAAAATAATATATGTTCCGACCTAAAGCTGGAACTATAATACTATAAAATGTATGAGTATCACTTACACAATTCAGAAATTACATATGGTGATAATTTGGGGTACATTGTTGTCCACCATGCTGGTTTGTTAAAAACAGTTTTTGCTCCAGACAAAAATAAATAAGAATTGTAGTATGAGAGTCTTCCAGCAACAGTACCAAGCCACCTTTTCTTCCTTCTTATATCACCTGGAAAAAAAGTTTCCCAATTTCTATCAATAAATGAAACTATATGGTTTCTCCAGTGAAAAAATCCATTTCTTGCTAATCCTGAACTTCGCGTTTGTAGATGATACAATGCCAAATTTATCACTTGCAACCTACAATACATATCTTAATTTAAATCTAATTATATAGATTTATTTTAAATTAAACAGGAAAAAAAATAAGTAGAAATGCTCTGTTGTAAATTATTTTGAAGCATATGGGTTGAACATTCTTTCTAGTTTAAAGGTGGTTATATCAGGTTTAAAGAAAAAAAAATAATGGAGGTATTTTAGCTTTTCTGAAATAAAAACTAATTTCCCCATTTTTAATGGGGAAAAATCTACTTAGCTTAGTTCTTGAATTTAAAACACCTTGGCATAACATTAGGTTATAGCATAACAATTGCACAACAAAAAGTATCATCAAAGGGACCAAACTGATATTCTTTTGTGGTTAATTTATTAATTTTTCGTATTATTCTTCTATAAATAATCCTAGCCCGTGTGTTATTTTTATGATTATAATGCACATAAGAATTTACCATGAAAGTTTTGTCCTATGAAACTTTTCAATGCCGGTCTCCGAACATTCTAAACAAATAAATTCAAAGAAAACATCACCATTTATTCCACCAGGTGCCGAACCTCTTCTTAAACATCGGATGTGAACCGCACTACTGCATTTAATACATTGAAGACCTTCATCTACGCATATTTCTAAATGTTCATTGCAATATTTGCATCGTTTTAGGCTAGTAAGAGATTCCATTTTTCTTTTAATTAAAAATATAAGACTTTTTAGTAGGTTTTTTTAACCTCGACAATGATTCTGCGGCCAGGGGTAATTTTTAGTGGGTTCTTCTTCTTTCTTCTTTACTTCTAATGGCCACGACTGCATAAGGTCATTCGGCCAGCTTACACAATTTTTCACATTATTCAGATATCCTAAAGAATGCCTACTTAAGAGAAGGGTCTGGACCAATCCATCATCCTCCAGGTTATTTAACGTATACAAAAATGGAAACAACTTCTAATTAAATTGTCATAAAATGACGACCGATTCTTCAAACGGCTCCAGCAATCATCTTATACGGGATATCCGATCCCATCCGGCCTGGTTACCAGCGTGAATATAGGACATTCGGAAACCGTATTTACATACACCTCATGGAATTACACATCACAAATCCGTGTACATCCACGTAAGACGAACACTATTTCCCAAACTTATAGGCACTACGTCTCTATCACGTCAGATAACGACTATACGTAACAATATTTTCTTTAAACGACACTAATTTCGACCGATTTCTATAAATATTTTGGAACCGGGCAGGAGCAACGTCCGCCATGTGCAATGGTTCCATCGAAAAGTCTTTTAGTGGGTTAATTATAGGTTCTTATTCTTATTTGCTTTTGTTAGCCGAAACTGCCAGGATTTTTCGGCCAGTTTACAACTGTTATTTAACTTTGACACACGCAAAGTTAACGATTTCGAGCACAGACCGACAAAAAAACTGATAAGTCATACATAAACCTTTGAACGATTCAAAAAGAGGGTTACTCTTCGCTTCTGCCAAGGACCATCCGGGCCAATCCGGCCTCCAACTGCGTCAATAAAGAAAAGGAGGAAGCGCACTGTACCAGGTTCACAATTAACTTTTACCACCTAATTTGAACCCATTTAGCTATTAGATAATACAATGGGCCTACTATCGTAAAAATTGACGCGCCGCATGCGGCATTGATATTTTCGTAAAAGGCATATTTTTGGTTAGTTTACAATCTCGTTGAATGCCACAAGGTCATTAGTTATAAGCCAGATTTTAAACTCAACGATTCCGTGCATTTTCGAGTGCGCGTGCGTCGATTACAAATAAAATGTAAATTTTGCATTCTCTTTTGTTTGCTGTGTAACCGCCATCAACAAGCCGCTAAAGAGAGTTTAAATTTTATTGAAAGTTTATTGGTAAAAAAAACCTGTAAAGTGACATTTTATTAAGAAATACGCTTATAATTTAATATTCACAGTAACATGAACAAATTTAATATTATTTATGATGAGTATATACAAAATATGCAAGAGTTTCTAAAGAATAGTGATGCTCTTAGACAACAAAAGTTCAAAACTATCGAAAAGGTAGGTAAATCACTTACCCTTAGCCCATCTTACATTTTCCTGAGCGTATTCATTATTTATACAAACTTTTTGCGAGATAGAGAATAAAATTAAAGCAAAACCGGGTTTTCCTTCATTTGACAACATTCATTTCACGTGAGAAGACAAAACTGTATAAACCATATCCAGTCCCATCTTTTGCTGGCAAATTATTTTCAACTATTAACGCCGAAATTGAAAATTTAATTGTTTCTGAAATAACATGTACAATTTTTTGCAATAACCCTTGTAAAAGTATTCAAATAGCGTTTAATATGCCTTAAATTTATATTATAATCTTGGTTAAATTTATTACAACTTAAATATAAAGTCAGCCCTTCAACTAGAGTAAGCTATTAAGACACCCAAAAAATTTGCAGGCACATTGCAGGCAACTATGATTTAAAAGTTTATTTCTTTTTCCTGTAATAATAGTACATAACTTTTTTCACAGGCAAATGAAAAGTTTTTGAAAAGCATTCAGACAAGTTTAACTAGGGGAGAATATGATGAAAATCTTTCTACAGGTTATGTCAACAGTATCTCAACAACCCATAACAGGTTTCCAAAATCGACGTTAGCTGATATTACTGAAGATATTCTTCAGGTTCAGGTATTTTTTAATTTATAATACATATTTTTATTACTGTTTTATACTTAAGTGATGATAATTTTACTATAAAACCCAAAAATTGCACTAATCAATTAGATTTTCAAAATCATTCTATATAAATTGGTGTTTTTAGATGTTCAAACATTGACTATAAACTGCGACTATAAATATAACTACTGAAATTAATTAAGGTTTTTTACATTTGATAAAGACACGGTGTTGTCGAAACAATTGTCATGTCAAAATATATATAATTTCGTGAAAATCTGATCTTTTAGTTCTTATTTATTTTGATAAATGGATTTTCATCAAGTAAAAGCCACCTCAGTTCAATTATTGAAATCACGCTAATAACTAACTTTTTGTGTAACTTTCTTATTTAAAAAAACTAGAGCTGAGGTATTGGTAATAAAGTACTGCGTGGGCCGTAATTTATTTAGCAGTGTTACTTTTAAATTCGTTTCAATGAAAACCTATCAAGAACCTGTAGCAGTTATGCAGTTAAAAACAACATCATAATATAACATTAATCATTCTTTTTCACTTAGTTTCAGAAAAATGAGTCTAAAAAATTCTCACAAACTAAAAAAAATTTTAGGTCAAAACAGAAAAAAAATCGGATCAATCTGCCGATTCAGTTTTTTTGGGAAAGGAGATAAAGGAGGAAATGCCGGCCCCGGCGTGGATCCCTCCCAAAAAGAAAGAAAAGGTTGAAACAACTACCAGAATTACCAGATCTACAAGGACTAAAGATTGTGGTAATGAAATTTACTTGTTTGAACCCAATGACAATAACATAACATAGGTTGTCATACTAGCAACCTGTATAACCTAGGTCGCCCACCTCTCGATCGCGAGCTACCAGTAGTTCGCGGAGGCAATTATGAAAGCTCTCACAACGATTTTAATTATTAAAATACAAACTGCAAAAATCAGAGAAGCTTCAGAATTCGACAAACAAATCTAATTGTCATAGGTAGGTCATAGGGGTTCATTTCAAAATTAACAAAGTAGCTCAACACATTAAAGAGGTTGGCGACCACTGCTCTATAAGGATAAAGCTGTGTTTGATTGATAGTAATTTTTCAAAGAAACTTCCACAGGCTACTGTAATACTATTTATGAAACTTCTGGATTTTTCCTGCGTTGGTTGTTGTTTAGTCGAACTTGCTGCTAGCAAAATGCACTAGGCGTTAGTACAGGCGAGAAGGTTCCAGTTCTGTTACTTTTCAGAGTATAAGATAATAAATTATAAGAGTTATTTCTTTATTTGTTTGATTTTGCAGTAGACTCTTACTACTGAATTTATTAGTAGGTAAACAAAATGAAAGTTCTTGTCAAGCACTTTTAATATCTAATTGAAACAACTTCAGCAAAGTGCTGTCAACCTCAAGCCTGCTGCCTGCAGACTCAATATTTTTACACATTTTGTCGTATACATATTGCTTTAACGAATTTTTACGACAATAAATTTGGGCTTGAAATCACCTCTATTAGAGTTATACAATATTACATCCTTTTTAATATAATAATATTACTTTATGGTACAGATTGTCTTTTTGATGCAATAAATGAAATTTGGCATCAACTTTAAAATGCCTTAAAACTAATCCTAAACTAGCTTAATACTTAAATACTTAATGTTTTGTTGCTGTCTAGAGGATTTTATAGAATGTTTATATCAAAATGGAATTAAACTATTTAATAAATAATATATTTTGTCATTATTAGGTATGACCGGAAGGAATTCAGACATCATTGTAGAAATTCCTAAAATACCTTTTATATCAATATCGGATACTGATGATTCAGATGGTGAAAAATCAGAGAATCTGCGAAGAACGCGAGCGAAAACTCAAACAATTCCATTTCCTCAAGCTGTCGATGATGATGCTGACTCAAATAAGGAAGTATCTAAGAAAACAAAGTCTGTTCACCATCAAGAAAGCACTGGGAGCCCAAACGAAGAAAATTATAGAAGTAAAAGAACCAAAACTTTGAGAAAAGGTAAGATATTTTAACAATAAAAGTGTTGAGTAATTATTTACTTTATATTCATAGGGGGATTTTTCAATCTTGAAAAAGGAACCTTAATATTTCATATTATGATCCTTTTGTTAATCTGGCACCTCTTATAGAAAACAGCCAAATGCCTTGGGAGCATTAGAGCGTCATTAACCTTCAGCACCCAATAGTTTCTGCTTATGAATGAAGAAATTGGTGATTCAGTTAAATGTCGTAGGAAAGTCTATGTAGATTTTCTCGTAGGTCATAAGTTCATAGCAGTCTCTTAAGTTATAAAATTGGTCAAAATTCATTTTACTTTTACTTTAACAGGTACAATTTTAATTCGCTTTGCACCTATGTATTTGTAGTAATTAAAATGGGGTGATTTTGAAGTGATACCTTATAGACCTGACCGATGCTAACTTTCCTAACTTGATGTATGTTGGAAATAACTGACAATGGTAAAACTAAAAACCTAATTGGTTACAAAAATTTACTGCAATGCAATATTTTGAAGATTAGACTGCTCTATAGAAACAAATTTTGTTTTAGTTTTTTTAAATTAATTAAAAATTACTGTTTTAGGTAAAGTTCCTGAAAATGCTTTACAGGTGAACCGTACTACAGAAGTTGTTAAAGAAAAGAGAACTACTATAACACAGAATGAAAAAGTAGATGAAAATATAGTTAGAACTACAAGGACAAAAACGTTACAGAGAAACAAAGATAAGGGGATTGATTTAAAATCACAGAAAAATGATACAGGTAAATGATTTTTCATAAATAGTAATAATTTAGTTTTTCTTATACCTTGTAATTTGGAAGTTTGCAGTATACTAAGATATAAACAAGTATTGAGATTCTTCTAATACAAAACCTAAAATTTTGGTCTACAAATGAAATTTATGAATCTTAAATTTTTGTCAGGTCGTTTGCTATCCTGTATCTTGAGGTTTAAAATGCTTTCATTTCAGTATTACTCAGTCTCTTGAATCTTGAATGTTGACATGAATATTGAATATTGACTGGTAGTAATATATTATTTCACAAGTTCGAAAAACGGCCAAGTTTGATTTAATCCGATTTAATACCTAATAAAAAAGTGACCGAAGACGTTTTCCAACTTGCGACATTTTATATGATAATTAGTTTTCGGGTGCATTTTTAGAAAGCAATATGAATACACTCTACCGGAACTAAAGTATCGGAAACGCCCATGACATTAATAAAACTTTATAGATTACTGAAAATAAATTTTATGGTAACAGTGATAATATTTTATTAAAATTATTGTCCTCTCAATCAATTTTGGTAATTGCAAATTTTACATAGAATCAAAGGTACTTCAGTCAAAAGCAGAAAATCACCAACTAAAATCTCAGCAAAAAATGTTACGAGAGTCTGAGGAAAAAACCACAACAAATCGGGGTGTCAAATCAAAGCGAAGAAATATTTCAGATGAAGGGGCTAGTACATATAATAAAAAATCCAAATCTAACTCTCCCATTCGTAATTCTGGGTTAAATGGTACTACTCTGACTGAATATGAAGATGCTAGATCATCTGTTGGTAAGCACTTTGATAACCTTTTTTATTTTTAAGCTTGTTTGAACCACCAGATGCGTGTGAATTGTACTTGCTCTTTGCATACTGCATATGTTTGATAATTCAACACCTCATATTTTTAAGAAAACCTTTAGGTTAAAAAGCTAGTTTCTTGTAATGGGCAATGGTTTTTTTTTGTTAAGAACAGCATGGTTAGTTAAACAATTCTGGTGTATATTTAAGAATAGGATATTTAAAAAACAACTAATTTTACAGATTTTACCATTTTTTCAGGAAAGTCAGAAAATACTGCTCAAAATACTAATAATATGCTAAATGTTACTTATGAGTGTAAAATACCGAACACAAATGAACAACTTTCTCAATTTGATGTTAAGAGCGACACTGAAAGTGCGCCCAGAAAACCAAAATATGATATTTTTGGAAGCCATACTCCTGCTTTGGTTGAAGTTGATGGATCTAAGGTGAGGAAACTATTGTTATGTTTTTAAACCTTGTTCGTCAAATGCGTCTGTGAAATTAAACATTTAATTCACTCCGCTTAAAACTTAATGGAATTTAAAATTTATTTCGTCCAAAATAAGAAATTTATATCAGTCGATTGTTTACATATAAGCGCTCTTTTCGACTGACTAGCGACCGCAGCGCTCCGTTTTTATAAAACGCAGCGCCTGCCGCAATAAAGGTGGAACATTGTAGTCTTATTCCACAGGAGCATAGTCTGAAGAAAAGTTCTTGAAACACAAACACACTATTTATTTTCTCACCTATTATCTTATACTCCGCTTATTATTTTCTGGCTTTCAAACTTTTGACTATCTGAAAGCCAAAATCTGTCCTTTGAATTAAATCCAAGGATAGTTAGTAGTGTATCCTCGTGTTTTTGCGTCTTTGAAGACTGCCCCTAACATCGTTTTTTTTTTTTTTTTTTTTTTTTTTCATGTTGTATGCATCCTTATCTTGAATATCAGTTTGTGCATAAATGTGTTTTATTTTAGGCCAATAGTATACAACAAAAAAATATCACGTCCAAACCGGCAAAAGAGATTTTCAGCCCGTATGCAAAATCAACTACAAAGAAAAAAGTTGAAGCTTTTGAAAAATTACAGTCAGCGATTTCGGTTCCAAAAAAAAACACAGCAATAAAAACCTCTAATGTAACACCAATTGCGGCAAAAGAGCAGGTATGAAGTATTTCCAAGTTTGATGATTCTAAAATCATTATAAACACTCTGCGTAGGGTAAAATTTTAACTTCTGCTGACAAATTCATTCCATCCAATTCCGGTTCATCCAAAATATCAAAGTTAATTAGCCATCAATACAATGCAATGAGCCGTGAAAATTTGATAGGCATGAAGGTAAGTACTTGGTATGGATAACTTCCTTACTTTGCAGCGTTCATCACTTATCTTGGAGTTGGACAACCAGCGGTTGACCCTCGGTGTGTGCATTGATATAGAAGAGCGCTCGATCAAACCATTAATAAATAAACTTCACCAAGGAGGTAACATATCTTAGGGTGACACTCTATACCGAGTTGAAAATATGATTAAAAATGCATATAGAGAGGACAATTTCATCTTAAGAACTATAACTATATATGCAGTCAACTATATTCACTCCAGCATAGTAATAGTGGAACATACAATTGATTATAGTATCTCAAATTTATGTTTAATTAATTTGGTTAGTTTCTGAGCAACTACACAAGTCATTCAATAATTTCATTAGCTGATAGAGAGGACCTTTAATCAAAAAATTGGGTCATGGATTTACTAAGTGAAATACAGGTGCCCTTACAGTACTTCAAGGAACATGAAAGGTCAGCTGGCTCAGCAACTCAGGGGAATCCACTAATTATTGCAAGATTTATATAAAAACTGAAATGAAAGGTATCTACGATTCAACAGTGAGGGAACCTTAAACAGTAGTAATAAACCCCTGTGTGGCAGTCCCCTAGCCAGGTAGAAACCATTTACATGAAAGTAAAGAAATTCCTTTGTATACTTTCAACTTGAGTAATGTACATTTGTATTTGTTGCTACACCGTTGAACTGTACTCTAGTTTCGAGCGCTCATAACTATAGTATAACAGTTTTGCAAAATTTCTAGAATTTCTGACATCCGGGTCTTTAAAATTTTCACATTTTCTTAATACGTTATTCAGATGGTAATTAAAAGTTATAGATCAGTTTTGTTAGAAAATGTCATTGCAAAACATTTATCTGTATTCAGGGGCAGGTTATGACATATGATTTTATGAATGCCACAAGATCATCACAAAATCCAAGCATCCTCAGTTTAGAGAGCAGTACAGTGTGGTCCACCCGGCCGAAGGCTTTTGAAAAGTATAGCGCATCCATCCACCTCCCGTCGTCCAAAGCTTGTGCAATGAATTCTGTAAAGTAAGAGAAATTACTGATGGGACTTTGACCTTTAAAGAAACAATGTTATTTGTGGGTTAACCAGTGTTTAATTTGATTGAAAATGCAGCGACATCTCGAAAGCCCTCACAAAAAGCGATATTATCGATACAGACCTGTAATTGGATATATTAGATGCTTTTCCCTTTTTTAGGAGGGTGGGAAGGTGTTTGTTGCTAGGGCTAAATGAAAAATAAGAGACATGGCTTAACAGCATTAACAATCTCTTAGGGCTGGTGTAACTGTCTTACCTGTAAGTGAAAATCTCTGGCAATTCCGTTTTTATTTGAACGCTTAAATCTAATAAACGACCAGAAAGAAGTCGGATCCTCTGTCACTGCATTTTCGGCATGAAAGATGTAGTTCAAGACAAACATCAATGAGGCAAAAAAAAAGGATTGAGTTGCGTACAAAACCCTCAATTAACATTATGATGACTGGGTGTAAGATACTGAGTAAAAGAAATCACCAGGAGCAAAGTTATTGGCAAAAGGGTATACTATACTGATAGCAGACAGGCAGTTCTGGTATTTCATAGACCGCGTTTTACATCACATCTAGTACTAGAATGTCACTGCACCCTCGTTGACGACGGGTTAGTCAATCTTCCTTAGTTGGATTAAAGGGCATGCGCATTCCAGAGAAACATGCCACTAGGAGGGCTGCCGGATTAAACTTTATAGGACCGGTCTGACGACCTCAGTCACTAAAGAAGGAAAATTTCCAGAAACAATTTCTCAAATAATGGGATGATTATGTTAGCTATCTAGGAAGCTATTCTATGTGCAGGAAAAACCTACGCATGGCCACAGGTATTCTTATCTTGTCCTTGCTTCTTTAACAAACACCAATTCACTCCCACGTGCACGATGTGCGAACAGGAAGACAAAACAATAGGAGGCCGTATTCTGTGCGAATGTCGCAACGTCTCAATGTCGCCTGCTACGGTCTAACTGCTATAATGTGGGTAACCGTCTTCTGTTTACAGATACGGATACTTATCTTAGAAATTTCAAACCTTAACCCACCATAAAGTGAAATAGGAAAAATATTTTCTGTTAATTGCAACTCTTTTATATATTGTTCTTATTTGAATATTTGCAATTTTTAAAATTTTTGTTTTATTGTTGTTTGTTTGTTTTTTTCTCAAAGAAAACACAGAAAGAACTCGGAGATAAACATGTAAAAAATCAAGAAAGGGAACTCGCTCAAAAGAAAAAGGAGGCTATGTTGCAGGCATCTTCAGAAGCTAAAAAAAAACTTAATGAAGAAAAGCAATTAAAAGTCCTACAGCAACGTAAAATGATCGAAGCTGAAAAGCAGAAGTTGATAGAGGTAAAGTGCTAATTTATAATCAGCTTTTCTTTTTGCTGGTTTCTCAAAACTAATGAAATAATAAATTTTAGGGCTAAGTGATTTTATATTGTGTGTTAAACAACTTTTTAGATGCAAAAAATGAAAGAAGAGAGATTAAGGCAGAGGGAAGCACAGAGGGAAGAATCTGCACTGAAACAAAAGTTGGAAAATGAAAGAAGATTACTTGCAAAAAAGAAGTTGCAAGAAACTCAGATGCAAACAAAAGCGAATCAGGAAAAACGTGCTCCAGTATACATGACTATGCAAGCCCCTAAACTGCCTACAAATGATTGCTATGATTCAGATGATCCCGATTATAAAAATGTCGTTCCACCGAGTTGGTGTGTGGGTAAGGGATTTATTCTTTATATATATATATATATATATATATATACACAAAACGGTAGTCGTGACCGGCTAGTTGAACAACAAATTTTAGTTAATTGGGGTGTCGGTCCTGATGAGGGCTCAAATAAAAGGCTTTTGTGCTACACCGAGCCTGGTCCATTGTTTGAGTAGTGAAACTGCTTCGTTTCCATATCGAGCTTTTATTGATTGGAAAAACCCCATTCCTGTAAAATACACAAAACGGTAGTCGTGACCGGCTAGTTGAACAACAAATTTTAGTTAATTGGGGTATCGGTCCTGATGAGGGCTCAAATAAAAGGCTTTTGTGCTACACCGAGCCTGGTCCATTGTTTGAGTAGTGAAACTGCTTCGTTTCCATATCGAGCTTTTATTGATTGGAAAAACCCCATTCCTGTAAAATACACAAAACGGTAGTCGTGACCGGCTATATATATATATATATATATATATATATATATATATATATATATATATATATATATATGTGAGATTTTGGCGAAACGTCTGCAGGATTCCAGTCGGATGCAGGATTTGCAGGATTCCAGTCGGATGCAGGATTCCAGTCGGAGTTCAACGAGCGAACGGATGATATCCCGGAATATAGTGTCATCATATTTTTCCATCCGTGAATCAATACGTGAGAATATATATATATTCTCACGTATTGATTCACGGATAGAAAAAGGTGATGACACTATATTCCGGGATATCATCCGTTCGCTCGTTGAACTCCGACTGGAATCCTGCAGACGTTTCGACGTTCGAAGCATTATATATATATATATATATATATATATATATATATATATATATATATATATATATATATATATATATAATGCTATTTTATACTAACACCCAGCCACCATTCTGCTCAGGTTATTAGTCATTGCCATAATTGTAGGAGAGGCCGCTAGAATGACTCAATTGATCATGCTTACAGCGGGAGGGACCATCAAGAATACACTATTTTCTCGACACGCTCAAACTCCTAATTTGCAGGATATCTTTGAGACCATCGATCCAAAAAAATTAAAGAGGTATGTAAACTTGTGTGTACAAAACAAGCTGGTGGGGAGTTTGAGTTTAACTTATTGGACGATATTATATGAATTTTTTTAGGTCATCCAGTCAATTATGGCGACAACCGCCTCGATATACTATGATGCCAGAGTTAAATGATACAAAGTTTAGTGATGATGAGGATTAAACAACTTATAGTATTTAACATATCAAAATGCTTTATTTTAATATCTAACAAACTCCTAAAACATATTTGTATATTTTTTTCTAAGTTTTGAATAAAGATAATGAAATATTTATAGATAATGATTTGCTGAATGAAAGGATACAGACTGGCCTTTGTAATGTTAAATCAACTAGATAACTATTTAAGTGCAGAACAAAAATTAAGTTTCAAGAGTTTGATGTGAAAAAGCTGGCCAGTGTTTAATAAAGCAGTGACAAGTTTATCAAGGTGTAAATCTTTTTTTTTTACGACGAAACGCCTCGACTGATGTGTAATATAACCAACAGAACTGACCAACGTCAAAATACCATCCTTGACTAAAGTACAATAATGGGTCAAAGTGACTCGCGACTGTGGCTGCATTAAAACTATATTGCTCACGCTTCATCCGTGCATAATTTGAATATGAGTAAGGATTAGGAAAATAAATAACTTTTATTGATTTTTATTATGAAAAAATATACATATAAAAAATAAATAAATTGATTACATTTACATTTAACTTTAAAAAGCAGTTTTGGTATAAAGTAGATACCCTTTCCCCAACAAAAATGTTGTAAGTTTACCCAAATTAATAAAAACTCAAGTTATGTAAGCAAAACAAAAAAATCAACAATGTACTTCAATATTCTACATTCCAATGGTAATAGTACAAAATATAAATATTTGATCATTAAAAAATTGTGATTAGAAAATACTTTTACCATATTTATAGTTATTTTTGTATATATAAAACTAATAAAGTTTCGTTGGCTTTACCTTTATGAACTAGCGACACGCGCCATAACAAATTATGTATTTTAAATGCGCAATTAAACTTCTATGAACAAGTTTTACACTCAAAATGTGATTTAGCCCAATTCCAAAAATAATCATATAAAGCCTTTATGGCATAATTTATTTAAATTTTAATTTAAAAATCTTTTTGTAATGGCTTTTTATTTGTCGTAAGTGTTGTTTGACTTTGAACTAACATTTTTCTACATTGCAGCCTTAATTTTACAGGTATATGTTAGCAATTTTTACCTCTACACAATTTACACATACATATCATATTCACTTGTAAATCAATGACTTCACTCAATCAATAAATTTCCAGGCACTTATATCACAATTTTGTTTCATGTCTAAATGGCCTTCTTAGTTGCCTAATTATAACTGGTGGGGGATTACTGTCAGACTCTTCACCAGCACTATCCACATCACCATCACTGCTGTTTGTTGATGTTATTGTTCGGATTGGTCTTGCAGCTCTTGGCCTATATCAAAAGAAATTATCTTTAAGTGAGACTCATTACTGGTAAGGCACCTGTTAAAAACAGGGTTATCCAACGAAAATCGTCAACTTACTTACTATTAAGATTTTAGGGAGCATCTTTTAAACGCAAACTGCTGACTAAAATAAATAGAAGAAAACTGTGTTTCCTTGTCGTCATCCTGGATAGAATTCAGTATGACGTAATTGTATTCACTAGGTTTTTTACTGGAGTACTCTATATACAACACGTGCAGAGGACGCAAGATCAAAAACAGATTTTTTTAGTCTCAATTGGTTCTGTTACATTTCCCTGCTTTATCTTATTGATTTGTAAAATTGCAAATTGGCTATAAGCTAGTTTTGCTTAATTTTATTTACCTTCTATAGTATTTGAATTCTCTTGGAAGAGTGTAAGACCTGGGTAAAGAAATTTGACTTTCTAAATCTGAACCCACAGAATGGTAGGATATCACTCCATCGTCCCCAGGTATTTCGGAAGATTTAGCCTGCTCTTGTCCTCCTGATCCTATACCTCCGCCGGCGACACAGTTGCAGTAAAGATAATGTGGCGTCAAAAGTACTTCTGGCGTTCTAATTCCATAAAATAAATGGCAATTGTGAATTACCCTTTAGAACGCACATATTTTTATTTAATTAATAACATATAAAATAGTAAAAGAATAGAAAAGTTTTTATTTACATTCATAAAAGCAATTTTCAATAGATCCTTTTATTAAAATCCTTTTGTTTTTGAAATTTATGAGGCGAGACAGTGGAGAGATTCAGAAATCCTCCTTAACATGCCGGAACAGGTGAAAGTGAAATAACTAAATGGTTAAGCACATTATGTGTGTTATGTTATCCCGAGGTATATTAAGCTCAAAATCTGCAATCCGGTGGATTCTTCAGTACATCCGCTAGTGAAAAGGTCTGCTCCAACCTCACTGACAATTATTTAGTAATAATAAAGATTCCAAATTTTCCAAAAAGGATATTGAATTTTGTGTGAAATTGAAATTCATGGATGCATTAGAAGTAATTGCAAGTATTCCTTTTCTTCCAACAACAGCAGTCAAAGCTGATAAGACAAATCAGTCAAAGATTGCAATAGTAAATATTTGTGCAGTTTTCAAAAGCGTGACCTATTCTGTGAATCGAAAGATGCCTACAGACCGACATTACCTCTTCTTTGAACTGTACTTACTGAGCTATATAGACCGGTATCTGCACCCTTCAGTTGTTTTATAAATTTTCTAGATATTGCTGTTAAAATGAAACAGTCAACATATTTCTCACGAAATTAATAGAAGTTTGTTGATATTATTTAAAAATAGTTTCAATTGTAAAGAATATTTCTTCTTTCTATCACCGGATGACGATAAAAAACATATTGTTGCATATAATGGCTCCCCTAAGACATGTTGATATGATATCTTAGAAATTGTTTAAAAACAGTAATAAACGTCACATTAGTCAAGACCAAGAACGAGTCTAATAATACTATACATTTTTGCAAAACAGCAAGATAAATTCACTGATTGATGTATCAAGTGACAATTGACAAGTGTAAAAATAATAACAGTTTCTAAAACCTAACAAAAAAATCGGATCGGTCTCAAATCTGTGTTAAAGTACCGAAAACATTCGATGTGATTTGCGACGGTGGTTAATGGAACTGAAGCCTTACAGTTACACTTTGTTAGAAACTATATTCAAAATATGTATCTTTAATTTTTCAAAATTTTGATAAATAAGAAAGCAAGCATAAAACATATAATTTTCTTTGTTCTGTATTTGAGAGGTGGCAAACATTTCAATTTTTGGATTTTTTTTGTGTGACAATTCTAACCTTTTGAGTTTGCACGCATATTCATGAGATGAAAAAATATATTTACCTATTTCTAGGTGCTCTTGGAGGTGGCCTTCTATTTAGGTTAAATCCATAGCTGGCCAAATTATTTAAAGAAGCCAAACTAAGTAACTGAGGTTCAACATGCTTTTTTGTCCTCGGAATTGGTTGGCGGTCATCAAAATCTGCACCTTCAGGTCCTACAAGCTTTCCTATAAATTATATATATTATATATTATAAAATATAGCATTATAAGCAATAATGAAAAAAAAATTGAGAAGGTCCATTCAACATGTGCAAGTGCAAGATAAATTTCGATGCGCCATTTTTATGGCAGTATTTTCTCAAAATATGCCTAGATCTCGTTAAATGTTCTAGAAAAACGAGTTAAGTGTGTGGAGACCACTGTTTAGAAAGAAAATTTCGCAAAATGCAGGTTAGCGGGACAAATGTAGGAAAATCATATCCTTCTTCTTTACGAAAATATTAGTACCCATTGTATGTCGACAGTTGTCACAAACAAACTAAAAGTTGTTTTGTTTATGTTTTATATTCGGGGTAAATTTTACAAGTGCTGGTTAGAACTTTTTAATGTACGGAATTTCTATTGGCCGGCAATGAACAAGACTAAATTCAAAAGGTTGAAACGAAATTCTTGCACAAAACATGTTTAGAATTTTACTAAATTACATCTCATTAAACTTTCAATGAACGAGTTGCGTGAAAAATCCTGTATAATAAAAGATAGCTTACCCTGTTTAATTTCCTCTTCAATAATTTTTAATTCAGCAAGTTGTTTTTGTTTCTTCTCTTGAAGTTTTTGATGTATATTAACTCTGGATCCAACGCTGCTGCCTAAAATACAAATAAAATTAGATAAGCATTGACTTAAAAAACCATCCAAAATATTGTTTAAATTTGAATAACTTGAGTCAGTCAATTTTTTATTACAATCATATTTAATTCAATATTTGTTATTTCTTTTTTCTAAAAGACAAATTTTCTAACAAATTCTTAAATTAATTATTAGCAATCATCAAAAATTGGTGTGGTGGGATGGATTTACTATTGCTGACAGCTGAGAAAAGAAGTAGTAGCGCTTTTTGCAGCTATTTTGGCTATGACTGATTTTATTTCACAGGTTGGTAAAACAAAATTTTTACCTTCATTTTCGCTAGATGATGGCAAAGGTCTTCTCCAAAACGGCACTGTTACAGGCCCCACTTGTATTTGCGTACCTCCTGTACCTGTAGGAGGTGGGATAAATGTTGTTGGTTTTTTCTTTTTTCTGTAAAGAGCAGCTGCGGCTGCTGGACCTATTCCGGTAACGCCCCCAAAACGGCAATTAAATACACCGCTAGGTAGACCACAACTACCATTTCTTCCAGGTGCGGGTTTTTCAATGAGTCGTCTCACATGGAAATATCGATAGTACAGAAGCATGAAGCCGATGCCAGCAGCAAACAGAGCCACAGTTAAGATTGCAACTGTTAAAAATTAATTTAACAAAGTAATGATATGAATTAATGTTTAGTAATTTACATACTTTAAGGATATTAAAAAATATATAATTTTGAAAACAATCCCACAAATACTGGCGACACCTTGCTTTTTGTAAATGGAATTTACACATTACTGCTTTTTTAAGTGCTAGACAATTCTATACAAATGTCATGTGCAATATCACAGATTTAAAACTTTCTATTTTGAAGATATTTAATAATTGCCTTTCTTTTATCATTTCAATTATGTAACTGACTTTGTAGAGAAAGACCTATTAATTAATTAAATTTCACTTTAACTGTCACATAATAGTCGCCTTAAATTATTACTTACATTTCACCCAATCTGGCTAAAGTCTACCTGGATTACAACAAATTGCGCATTCAAACGAACAAAGGTTTAATGCAGTTTAAAAGTCTTACCAAGTTCGATATGCTCCGGTTTAGTTTGCCATGTTGCAGCCAATGAGGCCCCTACTAAAAGGCAATTTTCCAGTAACATAACCACATAAAATATAGTCATTGTACGACTGTGAGATTTGTCCTGAAGGTTAATATATGCAAAAATGTAAATAGCAGCTATTAAAGCACATACGCCCAGTTTACTTCCACGTTGACCATGAAAGGGACTACGAGGACTCACAAGCCACAAGAACATACATGACCAATGAAGAGCTAAAACCTGAAAATTAAACTATGTTATTAAGCATGTATGTATTATAAATTACTAAATTAACCCTTATACCGCGAAAATACAATATTTTGAACATTATACTAACAAATATTGTCTTTTCCTCTTTAATTTCAGGCACAGTTAAAAAAAATTGGAGTAAACCACAAAGCCATTATCTGATGGAATCTCATTTTAATTGCAAATTAAGTCTGGAGGAATTCCAGGGAATTATATACTCTTTATTTTCGATTTAACCATACTCATAAGAAACTGGTTGCTAACACAGGTTGTTTCAAAACTAATGTAAAAAACTTAGGGGGGTAATTCATTGTTTAAAATAAAGGGTAGTTTGTTAATTGGACGTTGAGTTTAAAGTCAACCAACAATGGAAGTAGACACTATTAAACAACACAGTTTCTGCTTTTTTTAATAAGTGCAGGGGATTGATTAGACTACCCCTATCATTCTTAACAAAATTTAAGGAAAAACTTATGCAATCAGATAAAAAATATTTTTTTTTATTTTGTGCTTCACTTAGCAAAATTTTTTCTTTGAATTTTTTGATACTGTTTCCAAATAAAAAAAAATTGGATAAAAAAAATCCAGTGGACGTCTATCACTTCTTAAGGTGTCTTGCTCATTTCTTGTGTTTTTATTTAAGTTACATTATTTAAATAAAATGTTTTTAAACATATTCATAATTTACACATGAATAGATCAATTAGTTTTAGAAATATAGGTTATTTTTAAAATGTAATTGTTTAGAAGATCATTGATAAATGTTGGTACAAAATACAACCCTTTATCAGCACCCAACTAAATTATTTTTCTAAAATAAATTTTTTTGTCGATACGCAAGGCTTTCATTTTATTTTTGATTTGAAAACTGTAAATTTTATGAAAAAATTGTAGGTGTCTATCATCTATGTCAAATACTAAGTTTGTCCTTAAATTTAGTTAAGAAGGATGATAGAGGTGGTTTAATACAATCTCCTCCTCCTAAAAAAACAAGCAGAAAGTGTGTTTTCATAATAGAAAAACTTCGGTAATATTTTCTTTTTCTATCTATTTCCTTTTTTAAGATAAAAAAATATATATTATTTGGCGGCCATATTTGCAGCGCAATATTTCCTTAATGGTTGGTTTTTGAGCCAACATTTATATAACAAACTACAATTTATTTTAAACAACACCTCTCTTAAGTTTTCGCATTTGTTTTGAAACATCCTGTATATTAGATACTTATTGAAGTTTAACATGTGAAAGGTAAATCATTGGTAAACAGGGTTATTCAGATTACATGGTCTATTAAACTTAAAACAAAGGCAAGCAAGCCTTCACACACAGTGTGGTACTCCACACATTAAAATATATGATTACTGAACATTGTATGTTAAACTCTTTTCCTACAAACAATATTTGGTGACTGGGGTCTAAATCTAAATCACTATTTTGTTTTGATTTTGCATTTTTTAAAATAAATTGTGATGATGCTGACCCTGGATTTGTATTCTGATGTTCAAAATCATTTTAAATAAATAAATGAATAAATTATGTTTTTGGAAAATACTGTAGAAACATAAAACAAAAAATTGAGTGGCTTTCATCACTTCACTTTTTAAACTGCTTTTTTACCCATTTACCAGATATATCCAGGAACTGTAGGTGGCAGCATAAACCCACAAAGCCAAAGTCCTTGAAGAAACAGTTCCAATACGCCATAAAAGTTGAGACATGACTCCTAACCAAGTTAACACTAATCGATCAACTGTTTGGACATGCTTACTAAATGAGGCCAAAGCCCAGCATACTGAAAACAATGATAGGGAGGTGGAAACCTTAACTAAATCTGAAGGCATAGAGGTAGAGGCAGATCCACCTTAAAAAGAATGTCATGAAGAAAATAAAAAAAAAATCATAATTAAAACTTACTAGGTAATAGGTGCAGTTGCAACAACAACATTGGCGCTGCTTCTACAAATCCATGAATCAGCCGTAAAATACACAAATCTCTAACATCTTTTTTCACTGTCGCTATTTGTACAGGTATTAGTAATCGAGCATAACGCCAAAGAACACCCATCTGCATCAAGTGAATAGTAATAACGAGCATTCGAGACCAACCCGTCGGTTTATTTAAAAAATACCTATAAATAATATTTACTCTAGATTTAATTCCCATACAACCAAAACAACTTACCAACGTAAAGACAGTACTTGAGAAACTAACAGTGCCAAAAAAATTGCTCCTATACACTGCGCAAATATTACTTTAATGCCTCGCTCGTAAAGAGCATACACAACAAGTACATGGAAAACAAGATCACAGAAATATGCGGCCAATGAAACGATATTGAACACTAAATCGCATAATGGCAAAAATTCTGCCATGACGTTGACCCAATCATTACATATTGCTATAAAAAAAATTAATAAATTTATATTTCCAAGTACAATGTTGTAAAGGTTTTGGGATATACTGATTTTGGAATCCCGATTTAGCTTTCATTTCCATATAATAAAATTGTCTATGTGAATTTTGGAAATTATTATATTATTTACTAATCAAGACATGAAAGTGATACCCTGCTCTAAGGATGGAACTAAAAGTTCATAACCACTTGCATTCAACAGTATTCTTCATCAATCAAATTTAAACCATATAGCTATTAGATCCTTCAGAAATTTTCTGTTGAACAAACGTTTCAAAAACAGTTTACCTACTTGTTTTAGAGTCCTCTCGAGGATTGGTCGCATTCCTAACCTCCTTTCACTATTAATACATACGTTGGCATACATTTAGGATTATTTTAACATTTCAATTTCAGAGGAGAAAAGTTTCCATTGCACATAGCTGATGAAATGAAAAATAAATAAAATGATTTTTGCTGATTTAAATAAAATTATATGATATTCATATATGACCTATTCGACAACCTATTGTGTTATATAGTATTTTATTGTACTATGTACTGTAACCACCACAGATGATTGGTCACCAACCTTAAGTAGTAAATTAAATCTGTTCTTCAATTGACAGAATTGTGAACTACAGCAAAAAACAAATAGGCACTGCTTCTTTTGACAATAAATTTTGAATTTCTTAAAATTCCGATAAGGATTAAAGAATCACAAAAACTGGGTAAGATCAACAAGAAAAATGATTATATTGTTTGGAGAAATTAGCACATTGCCGGGCAGGAGCCAATATATTATTTGGGGTGTTAGCTATAATGATTTTCCCACGTTTCCAATTTTATTTTTAAACTGTGTCTCAACTATTTTTTACTATTTCAAAACTAGTTTTTAAATAAGTTAATAACAACAAAACTAACCTTGTGACCCTGACTCGTGTTAACTTTTATTTAGTCAAGACCGATTCTTCGTTTTGCTAACAATTTGTTCACGATTCAGGGTCAGTTAGGAGTCATAAAACACAAGTGCCAAGGTTTCCGGTTTTAAATATAGGTTTGAGATTTTCTAGATAGGCAATAGGTTTTTCCAGACCAAGCAATCAACTAAACAGCAAAAAAATGCTTATTTTCGAAAGAAGCGGTAGGCGAAACTACAAAAAGTGCAAAACGGCTCTTCGGCATTATTATATTATGTAACAAATTTGGTAAACAGTAAAGAATTCTATTTTAGCACGAACAGTGTTGCACACTAGGCATACTTTTTGTACAACCATTAGTTTTTGAGTATACATTTGCTACAAAACACGACAAACGATAAAATTCAAGCCACGGATAATATCTTCGATTACTCCCAAACCCGTAAGTAATATCCCGAAAATGTCCAAAGTAGCTCCCACCCCTATATAACAAAACTGCGGTCGTCCAATGAGAGTTTCCACACACTCGATCCATGTATAGTTGGGTATTTTAGACAAGGGAGTAGAGAAAAAATTTGGAAAGGTCCATTCAAGAGGCGCATGCACATGATTTAAAATCTTGGTTTTAATTAATGTCTTTGCGGCATAAATAGACTTATCATGGCCTATTTAAGAACAATGGCAAACATGAATCGCCCAGCTCTAATGTGGTGCTACCGCAGAATCCTAAGTTGCCTCTTAATTGAAACACTAAATCCAACCAAAATCATAATTGTGGGTGAGTTTTGCATTTTATTTGTTCACGTATATACCATGGGCCACCTGCCAGTCTGTGATGCGCTGGCAGTGTAATATGGTTATGATATTTGGAAACTGTATGTGAATATGGAAAGGCAAATAAGGTTTTTAAATAAATTATTGGTTGTTATATTAACTGTTATATATTATGCTCATTCTTCGTTTGTACATAGAAGATTTGAGTATAAATATTCGTTTAAACCCCCATATTTAGCTCAGAAAGATGGATCGGTGCCGTTCTGGGAATATGGTGGAAGTAAGTTTTCTGTTTAAACAATTATCTAATAATGGTCACTTAGTAATACATGAAATTTATAACAAAATCCTTCCTAGCAGTTTCATTTATTCTGCGAATATAATAAATTTCCGGTATTTGTAGAATTTCGTGCCGCATATTGACACGTATATAACCCAATATTTTCGCTTCTGTTGATTCATCATTAATCAGTTTAAGTACCAAACTCAGTTTTGAAAGATACGGCGATCTTCAGTCAGTCTAGGAACTTCTCTCGGGTGGAATTCCCATAGATAAACAACTTCGATATACCCTACTTTATTATGTATTATTGTCAATGAGTATTTTATAGATGCAATTGCTAGTTCAGAGAATGTCAGATTGGCACCTTCTTTGCGTAGTCAAAAGGGAGCAATATGGACTAAGCAACCAATAAATTTTGATTGGTTTGAAGTAGAAATAGCATTTAGAATCAGTGGAAGAGGTAGAATAGGAGCTGATGGGATGGTGAGTATTTTTTGATCATTTTGTTATTTGGTAATATTTTTCTTGCACTGAATTTAAATTGTCTGTAACTGACTAGTTAAATGAAAAATAGTCAAAAAAGACAAAACACCATATTAGTTTATAGGAAGGGAGTTATATTTATAATTATTAAAAGAATAATCCTCTATCAACAGATAAACTGTAGTATAAATTTAAGTGGAATGAAGAACCTAGTTGTTATCCTCAAAAAAAAAGTTATAAATATGTGACATATCCCTTGTAGAAAGGAAGGTGAAGCTACGACTTTATGCTAGGGACATAATATTTTAAAATGGTGACGGGGCTCAGCACAGTGTCTGGAATTCTCAGAATGTATCTAAAATATGTTTTCAGGCATTTTGGTACACTCAAAATAAAGGTTCCTATGATGGTAATGTATTTGGATCTTCTGATAAATGGGTTGGATTGGGTGTATTTTTTGATTCATTTGACAATGATAATAAGCATAACAATCCCTATATCATGGCTGTTCTTAATGATGGAACAAAGCAGTTTGATCATCAAGCGTAAGTTACCTTATAATTATATAAAAAGTTCTTTTCAAATAACCAATAATAACCATAGAAAATGTGTAATTATCTGGTTGTATTACGTCATATCACTTCATATTTCATAGTTTTGGTTGACTACTAATTGTCAGATTTCCAGGAAGTACAAAATTTGTACCTAAGTAATATTCTAGAAAGCTTTTAATGTATACTGTAATATATTTTATTATTAATCAATTTTAAGTGATGGGACAACACAACAATTGGCTGGTTGTCTAAGGGATTTCCGTAACAAGCCATTTCCAACAAAAGCAAAAATTGATTATTACAATAATATTTTGACATTATTGTTTCACAATGGAATGACAAATAATGATCAAGATTACGAAGTTTGTTTACGAGTGGAAAATGTTGTGTTGCCAAAGAATGGATATTTTGGACTTTCAGCGGCAACTGGTGGATTAGCTGATGATCACGATGTTATTCATTTTTTGACAACAAGTTATAATGCAGCAGGCACTCAGATGGGTCAGCAAGGTATTAAAAGTTATCTAGAGAGTTAATTATATTTAACAGAAAATAAAAATAAAAATAAATACTCCCATTTGGAAATATTATGTCAATTTTTTTTTCCAGAATAATTTGCTACACCTAAAAAGTTATTTTTTAGTCAGTTACAAAATTTTTGAATGATTTACTTACTAATATCACTTCGATTGTACCACCTTTGGTCTAGGAAGAAAAATTTTGTTTAGGTCCAACTGAGGACCAACAGAAACTGCAACAAGAATATTTGGATTATCAAAAAAAGTTAGAAGAGCAGAAGGCTGAATACAAAAAGGAACATCCTGGAGAGGTAGGTCTCTTTTTTAGTTTTTGAAAATGCTGAGTTTTTTTATTTGTTCTTTTGTATTGTTTTGTTATACTTTTAAAGTTATTAAAAACCTTTGAATACATAAATCATGTTTACCTTATACAATTTTAAATATTCCATAGAAAGAGCCTGACCTTGAAGATTGGTTCGAGTCTGATAACCAGCGGGAACTTCGTCAAATATTCCAAGGCCAAAATCAAATTTATGATATCATTAGGGATCTTAATCGTAAATTGGACGAGGTAATTGGCAAGCAGGAAAGAACTTTGAGTTTGATTTCTCAACAAGCCGGCGCAGTTGGCGGCCATGTGCCCGCTTCTCCGGCAAGTCAAGCTCTGCCAGTTGATAGTTCTAGCGACAGTATTCGAAGACACGAGGTGGATGCTATGTTTAACAATCAGAATCAGATATTGAACGCTGCAAGAGAGCTGAGGTAAGAATGATTTTGACAGGTATGATGTTTTCCTTTAATAAAATACCAAGTGCCAGAAAATCTTTTTAAAAATTTTTAATGAGAAAATAATTCGCAATAAATAATTGAAAATAGGCATAAGTATGAAAACATATTAATAATGTTGTCAGCAAACTCTTAGAAACACTACATATCAAACAGGATAATAATAATACTGTACTCCTTAGGCAGTTCAAGGCTGTAAACTATTTTTTTGAACATTTAACCAAAAACAATTTGCTATGAGTCTCTAATTTTGCACAAAAATTTCTAAAAGATAGATTGTAAATAATGCCTAGAGGGTAAACAAAATTATCAGCACATTTTTTATGAATATTGGGAGAGTTAATGAAACTAAGTACATTAAACAAAAATAATGTATATTTGTTTCAGTTTAGTAACAGTACTCACTCTAACATTAGATAATATTAATAAATTCCAAAAATTGAGGCCCTGGGTGGTAATTTCAGAAACTTGATAATAATTTCCAGCATTTACTTGCCATTGTTCAATCACAACCTGTTATAGAAAGTCACTTATTTATTTACTTAGTTCAACTTCTATAGGACGTTCATCTTGGAACTTAAACAAAGAGCTGACACCATTATCAATAACCAAGCGAAGCAGCCAACTGCCCAAGTTCAGTCAATAGGCTATGATTCCCAAGCATTAATTTCTGAAATGAGAGACGGTATGAATCATGTTAAGTCAAACATGGCGCAAGTTATGCAAAAAATGGGATCTCAGCAAGGTGGCTGCCAAAATATCAGTTGTGTGTCAGTGACAACTTTGTTGGTTGTTGTAGTAATTCAACTGATAGTCATTTTAGGATATCAACTCTACAAGTAAGATTAATTTGCTTTTTTTTTAAACAGGCTTAAATAAGTATAACTGTTTTCATTGTATTATTTATTATATTATTTTTTTTAAACAGGTTAAGACTTTATATATTATTTTAACACATTAAATTGTCACTCAATTTGTGCTTCTAAATCGAGATGAAATAAAGAAATATGCTATAACTTTGTAATATATTTATCACATCACATAAAAAAAGCATATTCTTTATAAACTTGAGAAGAAATTGACTGCAACCTCCCTGAAATTGCAACTCGCCTTGTATAAACAGAATTCATACTATGTTTTTTTTATTTTAGGGACAATAAAGGCAGTCAGTTAAAGAAGTTCTATTAAATTTGGATGTAGGCAAGCCAAAATTTCTAAAAATTGTTAACTTTATGTAGATTTACCTTCCATGAGCCTAATTTGTTATTTTAAAATTAAGAATAAAGTAAAACTTCCGCAGGCTGTGGACTTATAGATATACATCTTCTGGATTTCTTATCTAATCAATTGTGGCTCGTTCAGTTGTTTAGATTCCTTCCTGGAAAATTTCCATTCAATTTTTAGAAACGTCAACCATCAAAACGCATCCCATTAAACATCCAAAACATGTATATCTACACAAATAGTTTGTATTTGTAAATAGTCCAGATTACTTTTAAGATTGTTAAGACATGTTTCATACCCTCAACTCATTATTAATTTATTTTTGAACAGTGGTTGTACAGTTTTTAGAGCTATTCTACTTAATTTACAAAAAAATTATTAGTTTACTCAACTTTTTGTACAAAGCAGTCTGTGAAAACAGTATGAAAATGACATGACAAATAAAAAATTTATTTTTGAACTTTTTTTTTAACCCCCCATTGCATTTTAATATTCGTTTTCATGTCGAGGCAATTTTTCCCAATTGCGTGCTTCTTATTTTCTTTTAAACTATTGATTTTTTTTTTTTGGTTGTTTGAAGCAAATGTAACTCGATTTATTTTAACTGTTTTCTAATTTCAATTACACAAAGAAGTGATTTTTCTTTATTTCCACAAAAATCAAGTGACAAAGATTTCATATTTTATTGTTTATTCTGAAGAAAATAGCATTTGAAACTTAGCGGCTTATTTTTTTTTCTTTTTTTGAATGTATAACATAGAAAAGACTCCAACTTCATCTGAGAAAAAGCAAGAAATTATCTACAGGTTAAAAACCAAAAATATTGAATTTTATAAGAGGAAACAAACGAAAATACGAAGTGAAAGAGGGACGAAAAGCAGCCCAACATGAAGAGAAGAAAATATATCTTGACTTTATTGATCCGGCCGTCGAGCGGTTAATTACAATTTGTCAATAGAAAATGACAGTTCCTTAGATGATGTAGAATATTTTCTTATTATTTGGTTTCTGTATAATGTTTAATAAAAAAAATAATGGCGCCTAATACTATGTACATAATGACTAATTTTCATTGTTAAAATAAAATTTTGTTTTATACAAGTATTTTACCGGGACGTGTTTGGCACACCATTTTCAGTGTTGGTGAATCAATGGGCTTGCTCAGCCGTACTGAATAATCACAAAACAGGATGGCGTTATTATTTGTCAACAGATGGGGACCGACTGAACGGCACCTAAAACATCGGCGTATTATTTATGCTATGACATTCAATCATCTATGTTTCCATTTCCATCAAAAATTTAACCTTTAAAAAAAAACTGTGGTCCCTATTGAAAGTAGCGTTTTAAGAACTATTTTTCAGTTTCTGGGAAAATTTTATTTAAAATTAATGAAATCTTAATTTATCAACTATCATAAGATAACATGGATCTCACCCTTGTAGTAAGTATAGAAAGTTGTATCCCTAGTCTATCTACCTATTTATATAAATATATGAGGACATCTGTTGATCTACCCTTTATAAAGGAGACTTGTATTTCTATAAGTAGCTTGGTTGCAGTGGCAGATACTATTCCATTGAAAAGGCCCAACAACAATTAGGAATAAAAAAAATAAAAAAAGTATTTTTATATGACTAAAAATTGGTTTTATTTTTTGGCCTGCCTTTCAGACTTCTTACTAAGTTAAACCTCATTAAAGGTGACACAATTGATAGGATACCATTTGACAAAAAGGTTTTTTTCATATTATGGATGCTGGGACAACAGGAAAGTTTTAGAGCTGCAGGAGACCGCTTCAATTTAGATAAAAGTACTGCAAATGTCATTTTCTTTGAAGTTTTAGATCTTTTTTGACATAAGGTAATAGTGTGGCCTGATGAAAATAAGAGAAGCTTTACGAGTAGAATCTTGGAAGAAAAGTCTATTAAATAATACTTTTGTGCCAAAAAGCGCAATCGTTTTCTCGGTTGATTAAACTTTTAATCTTCTACTTTTTTGAAAGTAACAAATAATAACCAATGAATATGTTCCTATTATCAGAAAAATTAACTGATATCATTGTTGGTACCCCTGGCAGAGTACATGACGCAAGGATTTTTAGATTTTGCCCTCTGTATACCCTGCTAAATAATGAACATCCTATAATAAATCAAAATCAGCATTTAATAGATGATAATGCTTATCCCCTTTCATCATTTCTCTTTAAAACCATATAGAGATAATGGACATCTAACACCTCAACAAGTACGATTTAATACATTGGTTTGCTTGTTTTAATTGCACAAAGCTTTGGATTATTAAAAGGAAAATTTAGAAGGTTGAAATATTTAGAAATGAGCAGGGATGACAAAATTCCATCAGTAATAACTGCAGCATGTGTGCTGCATAATCTGATTGTAACTTATAAAAACTTTGACCCTGAAGAAATTGAATGTATAGCCTATATAGATAATGAAGAACTGAATGAGGATTTTAATGAAAATGACAACAAGTTACATCAAATTCAATAACAGATGAAAGAGACTACATAGCAAATGTAGTCTGAGTTGGTAATTATTGTTAAAGTTAAACTATGAAGAATCAAACCAGAATTATTTCAATAATGTATTTTATTTCTAGTTTTTCTGTTTGAATCTGGTTATTCCCTAGTAAATATGTAAATTCCCTCCGCAATATCAAACTGTCTTCTTTGCATTTTTTTAAGATATTTTGGCCGAACAAGCTTTTCTTTTTTGTCTCGATTAATCATTTTGCTTTTAGGAGTGTCCATTGGGGTAGATTCGTTTTCTGGTTCTTTATTAAGTAGAGCAATTTCATCTTCTTGAATTGAAGCTTCTTGTTTTTTTTTTAATTGAAGACATACAGTTTATTAAATTTATTGTTCTATCTTCTATAGAATATATAGAAATATTAAATATATTAAAATATTCCCAATCAATTCGTCCTCTTCGAGTATTTTTTTTACTGTTATTATCAGTAATATTTTTGTATGTTTGTTTCATATTTCTTATTTTCCTATCAAGTAGTTCACTTTCCACATTATATCTTTTAAGTTTTATTTATTTATTTTTAAATTTTGTTCCAAATATTTTGCTTTTTCAATTTTGGCTTTTGAAATTGTTTAATGCATTTCTTACATTCATCCAAATGTAATAAAATACTCTTGTGAGTCGAAGACAATGAGGCATGCGAAAATTTTTGCAAAATAACTATACACTATCATTTAATTTTACTCCGCTTACCAGTGCTGAGTCCAGGACATGATATATTTGTGATTTCATCTCAGTTGAATAGATCTGTTCTATTCTTTCAGTTTTTATCTAAAAATGTGGGAGGTTCTATTCATTCTTACAAGAAATATCCAAATTTGTATACCTGTGATATTCGGCAATAAAAGTTTATCACTTTCAATAATGGGTTCACTTTTTTCATCAGTTACTACATAATACTTTTTCCTCCCACATTCGATAATTTAGGACAGAAAAACAAATATATATAACACACTGATATATTCCAACCTAATCACAAAAAAAAAACGCTGTAACCAAACGGGTGACCAAAATCCCTCGCGCATCGCATCGTTCAGCCGGTATTGCCGAGGCATCAATAAACAGTTGTGCACGGCTAAACAAGCCCAATAACAATAGGCCAAAACTAGGTGGCAATGCTAAACAATGAACGTGGGATAAGTATTCATTGTCACTCTGTAGCTCCCTTGCATATACTCAATGAGGTTTTATTACTCTACACCTTTCTGAAATAGGCTATACTTAGTATACATAATTGGAAAACTTTTCTTCAACATTTTAAATGCTTGGAATAGCACCATATTATCGGCACTGGTTGTAATTGGTTACTAACGGTTATTTATCGCTAACGTTAAACTACACTCACACAGTAACAAGCCTCTGTGTGAAATGTACACAGCGGTCCCCATTATATTTTTATATTTGTGGTTCCATTAAAAATAAATAAATAAAAAATTTGCATTAGCTTACCCTTTAAAATTATTTTAAAGATAAATTAGCTTGGACGGGTTTTACTCCTATTAAAAATACAATTTATTGAAATCTAGAACAGAACAGAAATGATAAGCTGGATTAAAGTGAAGCAAATAAAACAATACTTGGGCGCTCAACTTTTAAAATATATTTTCCGAGTTTATTCTATTACACAACAGCGCAAGATTTATCAAACTTGCTTTCCACCAAATACTTTTTTTTAGATATTTTTAGTTTAGTTGTACTTAGTCTGGTTTATTATATTTTTATCTTTATTTCTAATAAAAATTGTGAAATTCACACAATAATATATAAACAGACAACATCTTAAACACTATCCGATAGTATAACTATTTAGATTGAATAAAGTCTACATAAAAAAACCAAAAGAATTTCGATTTTGTTTTCATTTATATATATATATATATATATATATATATATATATATATATATATATATATATATATATATATATATATATATATATGATGACGCTATATTCCGGGATATCATCCGTTCGCTCGTTGAGCTCCGACTGGAATCCTGCAAATCCTGCATCCGACTGGAATCCCGCAGACGTTTCGCCAAAATCTCACTTGGCATCTTCAATGCTCGCGCTCCGAAAACACTTCGAACACTTCGGAGCGCGAGCATTGAAGATGCCAAGTGAGATTTTGGCGAAACGTCTGCGGGATTCCAGTCGGATGCAGGATTTGCAGGATTCCAGTCGGATGCAGGATTCCAGTCGGAGCTCAACGAGCGAACGGATGATATCCCGGAATATAGCGTCATCACATTTTTCCATCCGTGAATCAATACGTGAGAATATATATATATATATATATATATATATATATATATATATATATATATATATATATATATATATATATATATATATATATATATATATATATATATATATATATATATATATATATATATATATATATATATATATATATATATATATATATATATATATATATATATATATATATATATATATATATATATCTGTGTGTGTGTGTGTGTGATTTTTGATGAATACTACTCGTAATACAAAATTTGAATACTTTGATCACCTATTAAACTTGTGTGCCCTAAAATTTCTCACAACTAAAAAACTATAAAATATAATTTTGTGGTGAAATTAACTTTGAATTTGTTGTGGTTATCTTTTCACAGAAATAATAACCACACAACAGTGTGCAAGTGGCAATTCAAATATTTGTACCACTGTACCACAAGCAGTATTCCTAATTTCATGATAATGTGAAATGAAAACAAATTCTATTTTCAAAAATATGTCCCCAAATGTTACAGAATTAAGATATTTCTTTTACTTAAGATAATTATCAAATATATCACATTTTATTTTTTTTATTATGTATCTATACAAATATTCACAAAAACATACATACATATACAATGTACAAATTTAGCAACTTAAATGTAATTTGAAACTTTTTTGGTTATGGCGCTAAAGACAGGAAACATCACCTTATATTTTGAGAGAACTAATAAATAACCCAAAGATAAACATTTTATAGCTCTACAATACACACACATGGTCACTGAAAATTCCCATCAGCAGTGTAAACTACATTGACATGCTTCCTCTGTCAATATTAGAATCTACGAATAAAGGAAGCAGAAATACAGTTTTTTTCTTATAATAAATATATTGAATATTTGCCTATATAGAAAAAAAGCTCTTGTATATTTGAAAAAGAAAACATTCTGATTCTTTAGCTGTTTGGTATCAATAGGCAACCAAGATTTACCCAACTCACAAAAGAATATGCAAACAATTAATTAAAATAACATTTAATAGTTTGATATTTAATCTGATGTAGCTCTTTTTTTACCAAATAGTAAGTCTCACAGATTTTAAAGAACTACAGTGTTTTTCAAGAATGAAAATTTGAAAAATTCTTAAATTGGTTATAGTTAACGTCCGAAACTATTTATAACTCCATGGTGATATTACACAGTGCTCATTTCCTTTCTAAGTTTGCTGGAATTTTAATGATGTGTTAAAAAAGTTATTGAAATTGCTAAAATATGTGAGCACTTAATATATCTCAATATATTTTCTTATGCTAACCAGAGCAAGTAGGCATCAACTTCTTCAAAAAAAAGATACAGATTTTACTTAGTTAATAATTTTAAAAAATCAGTTTTAAATCACACCTATAAAACATTTTAAAATTAAAGTACTGTCATGTATTTTGTCATTTTTTTTATACTAAAGCAAAGCAAGTATGAATAAAAACCACCATATAAGTTTAGTATCAGCCCTGTGTCCCTAAAATCTTTTGTTAAAATTTCTTATTTATTTAGGAAGTCTCTGGAAAGTAAATCCAATTAGACTGCCAATTTTTCTAGGTTTAAATACATATTTTTTGTAACGCCTTGAGCTTGTTTAAACCTTCATTTTTCATATAGAGGACTTGCAATATTGTATATGATTTTTGTATAATTATAAATTAGGAACTGCTGTTGGTTTTCATCCTAATATGGGGAGAATGTGCTTGCTTTACATGAAAAAATATTTTGACAAAAATTAAATGCAACTATAAAACGGAATTGAGTTGTTATTAACATAAATGATGACAATTAAATAGAACACAAATTATTTTGGGCTAAATAAATCTATTGAAAATAATAATTGATAAATCACAACTATTAATCAAAAACGGAATTTAGCAAAGCAAAATATTGTACACGTTTCCTGTAAAGTATGACAAAATTAAAATATTTACATTAACTCAAAAACTTTCAAATTAGGGTATTTACTTACTTCAAATAATAAACTAAAGCAAAATAGAAACACAGCTAATTTAGAGGCGGCACTATTGTCTCTCTGAGGGTTTCTTTCGTTTTGTCATGGTAGATGACTGGTAATTATTTCTGCTGCTGCGGTGGCTGTGTGTGTAAGTGCTTTGATTGTGACTGTGTCCTTGCGAAAGGTATTTCTTATTTTGATTCCAGACTTTGCTTTTTTGAATGTTCGGGCGTGGAACATAGTTGATATTTGGTGAATTATCTCTGGAAGGACGATCTAAGCCCTAAAATTAGATTAGATTTATTAACAGAAAAAATTAAAGAAAGTTATCTGAAAAATCAAAAAACACAAATCTTGGTCTACATTGGCAGATTTATTGTTGCGAACTCAATGCGTGTACCCGATGAGAAAATTATTGAACAAAAAAAATTGAAGTGCCAACTAGTTTTAAAAGTGCATTATTATTATATCGTTTTGGCAATTATTTTGTTACCAAATGGCATAATGAGTTACGGAATCCCGCCTTTTATTAAAAAAAAATGCTTGTGCTGTCGAGTCTCTAAAACGTGAAACTCTTCGTTTTCGAAAGAAAAGGGTTATTTGAATGCTTTTCTAAAAAAAGAATACGTAAACCGATGTTTACTTGTCAACTCCACCTTAAGAGAGAATAATAAATTTTGGCAGCCGATCCACTAATTTTATAAAATATTCATTCCTGTAATAAAACTTGTAAGCACAGCTGATGTTGCATTTGTCTGATTATATTATGTCCCTGATTATTACTTTATTATTACCCATGTAAATAGAATACTAATTATCTTTGACATCTAATTTCATTGCAATACATAAATGCAAATTCCAAACTTTTAATTAAAATCAGACACATCAAGCTGTGAAATTTCAAAACCAAAAGGAAACGAATTTCTTTACGAATTAAAAAAAAAGATTTGAAAGAAAAACAATTAATAACTTTTTACCAATATGTTGCAATTATATTTTTGCTTGAAGGTGGTAGACACTGATTCAGTAGAAATACTAAAAGGATGTCAAACTTCCATTGTTTTTATTTTTAACTTACACAACGTTCAGACAGTTGTATCACTACCCGTTCAATAACCACCACCTTTTTTAAAACGTACTGGCAGGCAGAGTGAAATTTATGTTGATATTATCCATTTTAGGGGGTATACAATGTCCTACCTCTGAACTAACTGCACTTTCTTCGGCACTTGATGTACTTCCAGTGCTAGAAGATCTTGAAGGCTTAATACTTCCTGTACCAACGTGATTTGTGGGTAACGAAGCAAGTTGAGTAATGAGTCCACCCCCACCTAAACCCTCTCTTGCGATGTTTACTCCCATAGTGGGCCCGCGTACCATCTCCTCTATATGCCGTCGGTGTTGTACGACTTTGTCGCGTACACGCACAATACGACCCAAAATGGATTGACGATTACAGTCGTTCAGGTGAGACGTGGGATGCACCACATTAGTAAGTATTGTGTAAGCGTATTCAAATGCCTTTTTAACCTAGAACGAAAAGAACAGACGGAGAGAAATTACTTCCCAAAAAATAACAAAGTTTTGTTAACCCTACCAACCCTAACAACTAATCATATATTTAAACTTATAAAATTGGAAATTTTTAAATTATCTATTGAACACTGCTTTTGAGACTATTTTGTATTTTTAGACTTTGCGCATTTGTACTATTGCAAGATTTTAAAGCACTTCACTTGGCTTTAAACTTACGAAAATAGTGTATCATTGTTGCCAATGTGTAAAGAATAGATAAATATTTAGGTTTGTTTTTCTTTTTATCTTCTATTAATAAGATTTTTTTAAGGCAATTTAAATAATAATAATAGCTCAGTGGATAGCGCGGAATGCGATTAAAGCATTCTAGTAAATGACATTTTTCCAAGAACCCAAAAACTACAACTGGACAGAGTTTAAGTTAACTTTATTTCTATTTGTTAGTTTTTAATCTTTATAATAAAGTGTATTATCATTTATTTTCAGTGTGAACAACTTATTCATATTACTAAAATTTCAATTAAAAAAAGTGCATTCTGCAAGAAAGTGTAGGTTTTTCCCTTACATTCAAGAGTAAACAATTTAAAAATAGGACACTTACATACATAACCCCGTAACTGTTTCTGCCAATATCATTTGAAGGTTGCAAAGGATCTTCTATGCATAACATGCTAGGCCGATGTCCATCCACCATCTCCTTTTGCATCTCTTCCTTGTTTATGTACTTTCCACCCTCTCTAATTCTAATACCCGTATTTATATAGTTAAATTTTCTACCGTAGAGCTCAAAAAATTCAATAAGTAACACACCTAAATTGGCATTATGTTGCCTAACGCCTTCTTGCCGCGGATGCAACTGTAAGAAACTTATGCACATGAGAATGAGACTGTAACTACTAATACCCCCCGTGAACACTTCATTAAGGTCTCGTTCTAAAAGAAACTGCTTTAAGACGTAAACTAATTTTGGTAATGCTGGAAACTGTTCAATATATGTCTTTATAAGTTCGGCCGATTTCACTCCGTTAGACATGTTAAATGAGATATCAACTTTAATTTCAGTCTTTTTATCGACAAGTTTAACTATTGGAACTGAGGCCTTGTCCAATACCTTGATACTATTTTCAATCGCCACATCTTTCTCAAGGAATTCTTGTTCAAGTGTACGCAATGGGAGATTGGACCACTTCCCTGAAACAAAAATATTGAATACGTAAATACAATTTAATGTGACTGAATTTGCAAATGAGTATCGTAAAAAATTGTAATTTACCTACTCGTCTACCTATTAAAATTTGCAAATGAGACTTTCGGTTGGTTTTTACATAAAATAATGGCTAAAATATTCAAAATCAAGCATATACTGGGTGACTCAAATTCCCAAATTGATATAGCTGCAAAAATACGAAATATTAAATAAAAAAGTCAATACCATCTCCGTGGGCTTTTACTTAATTAATTAAACATTGAAAATTAATAAGTCATTAAAAAGAATTACTTTTTTTTAAAGAGTTAGATAGATTTATGTCCATGCGTGCCCTTAGGACATATGCACTTCCAGCCGAGTTCTCAGAGCTTCCTACAGTGGCCAGGGGCAATTTTTCACTTTTTTCTTCCTGAAAATCTTATATAACGTTCGTTTCGACTCGAGAAACACATATTGACAGTCTTAACCGTGACTCCTCTCTGGTCACAGTAGTGAAATAAAAACAGAACTAGCGCCTATGAAAAAGCAAAACACTGGCTAGCTGGCAAATATTCAAAACTGTGCCCAAAACGAAAAATTAAGTTGATGGTTCAAGAAAAATGAAATGCCCATGGGATGTTTGACAAAGTTCACAGTTCCAATTAGAATGCATTTGTTAATTTTTTCTAAATCGACTAAATTTGAGAAACCCAATCAGAGTTTCTGGCGCAGCGTCTTTTACCGATCCAGAGATTCAATTTTGAAACTCCCGGTATGAATTTGCAAACGCTTTAGGGGATGCAAGAATTGGATTGAATAAATTAATTACTTACCAATAACAACCAGATCTATATCACTAGTTGGTAAATACAGACCAGTTCTATATGACCCAAATACTTCAACCTGCGCCTCGGGCCACTTTGATAGTATAATGTTTTCGATGCGCGCTACTACCTCAGCCCTAACTTTGTGCTCGGCCTCCGACGGACTCATATATCGACAAAACTGTTCAATCTCTTCGTGAAGCCTGCAACGCAAACGACGAATTTAAGAAATGATTAAATAAAGTTAACTTTAAATAAAAATACAAACAAAAATTTTGTTAACTCTAAATAAGTTTTTCAAAATTGAAAACATTAAATTAAAAATATTTTAGGCGCGACATTAAAATGTTTATTAACATAATAAACGATACTATGTGAATAATAAATAATATAACACTAGCTTTTTACAAAATGAAGTTTTTTTTTGGTAAAAGAATTTTCGTCGGGGATGAAACGATATTCCTGATGTCCTCATTCACAATAATTGTCGAAGACCTGTTACGTCTAAAACGCGAACGAAAGTAAAAGCGGTGGGGATTTCACGTATTCCGCGTTGTCAGATGGTGCTTATTAACGTCAAGTAGAAAGAACTTAAAAGTTATTTTAAACCAAAGATTGATATTAAAAAAATACAGGATGTCAAACTTCCACATTTAAATTGGATAACGTGTAAATCGAGGCAGTAGTGCGGGACCACGCTAATATACAAAAATAGAACTTTATATTTCTCTCTCCTGACTAACAATTTTTAAACCGCTTTACAGATGAGCAATTTATAAATATATAGGGTTGCCTTTCTGTTTTAACCTACTAGCAGTCAGATCAGAATTCTCAGAAACTACAAGTGTAAATTAATCTTTTGACGATATACAATTTTTCTACCTAATTAGAAAATAATATTCCATTAACTAGATGTGAAGCTGCAGGCCGGGGCGGCTCGTGCATATGCGCTGCAGTGCTGCGGAAAGGAAGTATTTATTTATAATTTATATTTTCTTCTACGAACCATAAAATTCATAATACTTCGCATTCGCATCGTAATAATGAAATATATATGAAAACTGGAATGGAAATTCCGCCGAATGTGATTTAAATAGGAGAGCTCGCTGCAGTTTGCCCAGAGCAACGTCGAAGAGGTGAATAGTATCAAATATTCTCGCAGTTTTGTGCTTTACTGGTTTTAAGGTAAAAGCAATATAAAAATAATAATAGAATGCGTGTGCCAACCAAAAGGTTGATCATGAAAATGCTAATGTAAGAAAAGTAAAAAGTTATACAGGTAAATTTAGTACAGACATTTACTAAAAATATGAATGGATTTGTAGATGTAACAAAAAATGCTCTATATTGTTTTCCCTGCTTACTTTTGGTACTTCGTGGACTTATTAACGTTTCGCCTGAATTAGATTGCACTGGAAATGGGGATCTACAAAATTCTTCAATATTTAAGGGCACTTCCAAGGAATTTAAGAATGATCTGTTACAGTGCATGCTTGAAGTTCGTCATTAACAAATTATTGAGGAAATTTGCAGGTCTCCGTTTTTGGTTAAGGTAAGTTTTTAGCAAGAATTGCAGAATACCACAGTAGCAGTTCTCCCGCGAGCCGCCACTGGCTGCTGGGTATCACCAACATAAAGAAATTTTAAATCTAAAACACTAGTTTAGCCAATGAGAGTTGGCCGAATCTGGTAGTTGATGTCACCATATAGATATGTCCTCAAGTGCACTGTGTCCGAAATTACTTGTAGTCAGGGTCGGAGAAACTTTTTATTTTTATTTAAAAAATCAAAAATCATTGATTTTTTTTTATTATTACATAAGAATATGTATTTCCCGTTTTTTTGTGGCAATTACAAAATACTGTAAAGCCACTACAAACAATATACATACTAACTATTCGTCGCTTTTTGCAAGAAAATTCCTGTCGCGACTTGTTTTTTTCCTGATCTATAAATTATCGTTGTCGAATACGTCTCGCGTACTTAGATGCTGCTTGGTTAAAGGAGTGGAACTAGTGAAAAATAGAGCAGCACTAGATGAAAACATTTAAAAGGCTGAAAGAAACGAAAATAGCATATGTCAGTTCTACATTGAACAACAGATCCATATAAATCTAGGTGTAGAACGATTTGTAATATCTCTAAGAAATTCAAGGAACAGTTTAAAGACTTAAAGCACAACTTGATGTTCGTCATAATAAGCAGCAAGAAACGAAAACAGGTAGGTAAATAATATTTTGTTTTATTTATATATTTATAATTTTTAAATACAGTCGAACTTCGATAACTCGAATTTTTGATAAGTCGAACCAAATTGGTTGGCAATAGCGTCAAAAGTAGGAAATGCGTGTTAGTTTGTCTTGATTACTCGAACTTCGATTACTCGAATATCTTGATAGGTCGAACGAAACATTTGGTGCCTTCAATAAGTTGAATTTTCTCGGGAACCCCCTGTTAACCTGTTTTTTTAAAGTATCTATGCAAGCAGTTCAGTTTATGTGCTTGCTAAGTTCACTTGTATGACTTACTAGTTAATACTAAGTGAAAAATACTGTCCCTATTCAATTTACACATTATATTAAAGCCATTTTTGGATTTTTGTTGATATGTCATGAAAACGTACTTTAAAAGCTTTGTCTGTTGATCAAAAATTCAAGGTTATAAAAGAAGTGGAAAGTGGCTCAAAAAATAAAGATGTAGCTGTGAAGTATGGGCTTTCGGCAAGTACAGTGTCTACAATTTTGAAAAATAAACATTCAGTCATCACCACAATGGAACGTTTCGAAGAAAACAAAAACAATAACATTACACTAACGGATTGTGTTGACGACGTAACTACCGCATGGAATATCGACGTTAAGCCTGAAACAATTTACAATTGTTTTAAAAAAGCCGGTTTTGCTCAGTATTCTAAATGGGAAGAAGAAGATGAGATTCCCTTGATTTTCCTAAGTGAAGGCCTGAGAGAAAAGGATGAAGACGAAATCCAAATAGAAATCGAGTTTAAAGCTTGGACAAACATTAGAGGTATAGCAGAAAGTAGCACCATCAATGATTTTATACATGTGGATAAGGATATTGTTACTTCAGAGTTTCCTATTGATGAAGATATTATCGAGTCCTGCAGATCCGAACCGGTACAGTTAAACATCGAAGATAACTGCGAAAGTGACATGATGGAGGAGGAATTGAAAAATGATTCTCAGCAACCACCTTCAAATGAATTGGTTGAAAATTCGTTGATTGTCTTGCGTTCCTATTTGAAAACCAGTGAATACACAACCGATTGTGATTGTTTAAATAAAATTAAAGCTTTTGTTGAAAACCAAAATAAGAAATCCGGTCGTCAGTCACAAATAACTGACTTTTTCCCAGTGAAAGAGTAAACTTTAATAAGTACATACATATGTATGTATATGTGCATACATACTATATTTATATATACTGGATACATATACAATACATTTGTATGTAGATATATTATAAAAATACATACATACATATGTACTACTATTTCATAATTTTCGTTTTTTGTTCAAAAATCATAGATATTAGGGCATTTATGTAACGTATAACCCATTTTTAAAAATGAATGAATAAATGTTTATTCACAAAAAAGTACATGCATTTGTCGTTTTTATTGATTACTCGTCGTCTTGATAACTCGAAATTTTCATGTGTCAAATCGCAGTTCGACTTATCGAAGTTCGACTGTACTTATTTTTTTACGATACATAAAAGTATTTCGTTATTCACATCGCATAATTTCTTTATCTTTTATTTATTATTTATATTTGGTTTATCATTTATTAATAATGGTCTGCCTCGAGTTCCACGACACTCAGATTTGTCAAGCCTTTACAAAGTCCAAAAAAAGAAGGGCGTCGAAACAAAGAAAAAGAAAAAAAACTGAAAATGAGCCTAAAAATCTGAAAAAGAAGATTTTTTGCTACTGATCAAGAAAAACGTCATCAACAACCCTTTCAGATGACATCTGTGAGGACGAAAGGGCAAAATGTTTTTCTTCTGTCAGAAATATGTGTGAATATGTATATTGGCATATGTGCAATAATAACAACTGAAGATGGACGAGCGCTTTTTTATGAGTCAAGTAGTTTTCTACTCCAGTCTGTAAAATGCCTAATTACACACCGATCTAGCCTGGGGGAGGCGTCACTTTACCACGACAGGTTTATTTTCCACGGATCCGAGCCACTTTAAGACATTTCCGGGATTTTACAGCACGGGTTTGGGAGCAATCGGATGTTTTCGGAGATATTTCCCACGGTTTGAATTTTGACGATTGTCAATTCTGACGATCATGGCAAGTTCGGTAAACTTTTTAAGTCAATCGTTTATTAAACACTCAAATTAACTCGTGAGTCAAGTGCCGTTTACCGCACTTGTTGCGTAATATACTATTGTGGTCTAATTTCTTCATGTAAATCAAAAGATGACTGCGAGCTAAAATCTTTTATGACAGATAACGCTGCAAATATGCTCCTCAGGAAAAAAACTTCGGAGGAAAAGTCGGACTCATAGGTTACAACTTATGGCTGCTCGGCACATATTTTGAATTTGCTGTGCAAAGACTTGCAAATACCAGACCTCAAAGCCCATGTAGTCCCAATTGTTAAGTATTTTCGCGATAATTATCTAGCTAGAGCGAAATACAGTGAAGTAGGGGGCAACGCAGGCAACAAGGTGTACGTTACTCAGTGGGATATATTATTAAAACTCTTGAAGAAAACAAAAACCATTAACCATTTGATTCCACCATTTACCAAATTACCAAAAAGTGTCAAATATTGAGCTTAAACATGCAGCACAAGAATGTTTAAGCATTTTAAAACCAATATCAGTTACTCTTGATATATTGCAGAGAAAACGCTACTATCTCAGTTGATGTAAAACAGTGGAAACATTTACAATGTCTTCGAGAATAAGATATAAGCAGGCACTCGCGCCATATCATTTTCTCAACTCTCAAAAGCAAAAATAATAGTTAATACCCGAAGAAAGGCATCTGGCTTTAGAAATAATTAATAATTTATTTGGAAACACTGGACTTTTGCCCTTAGTAATAAAGTTGAATTCCCTTAGTTTACAAATTAAGAAAATTAGGTTTTTGGATAAAATAATTCAAAATTTAATCAGAATACAGTGGCGAACTTCACAAAGATTTAAAAAAAATAGTAAATGTAAAATGAAAAACATCAACACTTGATTAAAATCAGCCCAACCCTGTTTGTAATCACAGGATTTCTCCGTAACCAGCAGAGATAGAAGTTTCGTGAACCTATGGACAGTTTTTCGCGAAACCAATGCCGCAAAACAGAATTATGCCACCTTATTTCGTTCTCAAAGTATGGTCTGTTCATAGATATAAGAAAGTGACGAATTGCGTTTGAATGGGATTATCCAAGGGTGGTCATTAACATACAATGCAACAAGATTATTACCTAAAGTTTCGGAATTTAAATTCAGGTAAAATTGTGAACCATATTAGGAAATAATTTTATACCTAGCTGTGTTTAATATTCTTAGGTTTGGTATACTACTTAGTTTAATTTTATTAGTAATCATTCTTATTTCGTGTGTAATACAGCGTGTGTTGAATCGTGTGCGCATTATGCAAAATACGTGCGAGTCTAGTGTATCTCAGGAGATGCTCCCGCCAAAATTTAGAAAACACTATTCTATTGAGACTAAGGAAGTTATATATAATGTTTATTTGACTCTCATTGAACGTGGTGCCAGCAAGCAAGCATCTTTAGGAGAAACGGCCACATTGACGAAAATTCCAACATCAAGTGTATGGAAAATTGTGAATAATCCCATTTCAGAATTCGGAAATGGCGACTGGAATATCTAGAAAAAATTAGGGTTTACAGAGAACAACAAAGGCCAATTATTTACTTGGATGAAATCTGGTTCGACACTTATGACACCCCGGTTGTAAATAAAACAAACGCGCCATCAAAAAGAGGTATTTTGCATGCTGGCTCTAAAGATGGTTGGATTCCAAATGGACTCTCTGTCTGCGAAAAATATTAAAGATTCTTCTCTGGATTACAATGAAGACACCACCGCTGATTTATTTGAAACTTGGTTTAAAAACAAACTAGTTCCAAACATTCCTCCTAATAGCGTAAGCGTAGACAGTCGACTAAAACCCCTTCCTCATGTGACACAACAGCGACAATCCAAAACTACGTGTATAATAACGACATTTATTTTCACGAAAATTATACCAAAAAGCAATTAATTGAGGTTCTATAAAGCTTTCTCTTACAAAAGGAATACGTCTGTTATAATTATGCAAAAAAATCCAGGGCATACAGTTTTAAGGCTTCCTCCACCTTACCACTGTATATTTAATCCCATTGAACATATTTGGCACCAACTGAAATCTGCCGTTCGTTGTAACAATGTTTTTCCCCGTTTTAACTCCAATGTCCTCAAACTTTTAGAAACCGAAGTTTTTAACATCCCTCCACAAAGTTGGGCAAATTCTATTGAACACATAGAAAAAGCAGAACAATCGTACATCCATATCGCAAATAATATAGAAAAAGCGATGATAGCGATAGTGATACTGATACATTATTTCAAGTAATTTAAGTAGGTACTAAAAATAATTTGTAATTTTATTTTAGATTCAAACATAAGTACATACATAAATAAATAAATATTGTTTAGTATCTTTCCTAGCAAAACCCCAAATAATTAAATTCTAAGCAAAGTACAGACCTGTTCGGCCATATTTAGACCTGTTCGACCATATTTCATTTTTACAGCTTGCCCGGGTCTTTCCTTAATTCGTATCAGTTAGTCGCTTTCTTATATCTATGAACAGACTTTACAAGATGAAATTTTGTACTTTTTGGGGTGGTATCATATTGCGGACATCCCGTAAAAAGGACAAAAACTGCTATATTTTTACATAGAATCCAGTAGTGAAGTCAACAAAATAGAACATGTATGGAAAATTGTGAATAATCCCATTTCAGAATTCGGAAATGGCGACTGGAATATCTAGAAAAAATTAGGATTTACAGAGAACAACAATTATTACTTGGATCTTGGGTCTGCCGTTACATTATTATTGTAAATGTGGAATTTAATATTTGTTCCCAATCAAAAGCAAGCCACGTTAAACCCAAACCTTCCTTATTACCGATATTCATCCTTTAAAAATTGATTTTCCGTACAGCAATGCCTATTATCATTATTATGGCAAAATTACGTTTATCCTAAAAATTGCGTGTTTGTGGAAATTTTTACACTAACTGTTTCGCATTTTTTAAATGGAATGTATTTTTTGTCCCAAAAATTTAATTTTTTTCTTAAAAATGCTGTATCATATGCACTTCTGTTATAAACTAATCCACTGGCAAAAATATCTATCAATAGCAGTTTTTATCTTCTTTCTATATTACAAAATTTCTGTTTCACCCCGTATCTTCGGAACGAAATTAGGATCTTTTTGTGGCATTGATGAACAACTGACACAGGGTAGTGAAAACCCCAAAGTTCTATATCTGCTGGTTACCGACAGACAAACCCTATGATCACAATCAGTTTTGGACTATGTTCTCTGATAAGTGATTTTTTTACATACATATATTTTCTTAAATCAGTATTAGTATTTGGCGGGCTCAAAACTGTGGATTTAGTGCTGCATGAGTTAATGAAGGCACTTTTTTGGCAAAAAACATTTTCAATAGGGAAAATAAATAAATTTGGCAACGTTGTTAAAAGCGATCTTATGTTAAATCCAGGCGTACAAAAAAAAGTATATCCAAACATACCCAAACTGATTGGAAGGTGTTATTTAGAGTAAAACTTCAAACTAACTTACCCTAGAATCCCTTTGGAATAAATACACTGTTCCAATCTCCACGGACATCCGCCATAATCTGTGACAAATTTTCTAACCATTTGCCTTTGAGAAGGTCTGATGTGCTGATTGTCACTTTTAGTATTTCGCGTGCGGGTATTGCCACTTTTATCCGATCTTCCATTCATAATAACTGCACTTTGATTATTAAAACCATTCGTTAACGGCTCTGTATCATTATCACTGTCTCTCAAGCTCATATTTTCGATTTCTTGTTGTGTTTGCCAGACACGAAGCCACAAAACTTTTGCTGGACCGTCTTGCTCCGGCATGAACCAAGCTATGCATTGATCCATTCAAAAACACAAGCCGCAAGTATAATGCGGCTCTATCACAAATTGGTAATCATAGGTCGTAATTAATTGTCGCGAAATAGTTATCCCACAATACCAAGCGAAAGTCGCACCTGCATTTATCACACGACTTCCCGCAGTTACGAAAATGACAGAACCACGAATTCAAAGAACTGCAGAATAGTAACATAACCACGAATCGAAAGATTTACAGAATGGAACTCACAGAATATTGTTGGTTGGCGAAGGGGATAACTATTAAGGCACACTCACACTTTAAGTCAAGTCGCTATAACTTGCACCGTAAGCTAAGACCGCACCACCGCACCATACTAACTAAATATATGATTTCCGACCTCATTAAACACTGAATTGCGGCAGACCGCTGCAACACGACGAAGACAAATATTATTAAATAAAATTTGTATGAGATAACCTGCCCTACGCTGAGCGACACGGATGTGTGTATAATGTATATGAAATCGTTTCGGACCTTTCTCTACATCGTGAGTTACAAATATCATGCAGGAACCTTTTTTTTGCTCCATGGCAAAAATACATTATTTAAATAATAAATGACTTGCGTACGATCACGCAAGTCATTTAATATTTTGTTGAGTCGAATCGCGTTTCGTCATGTAGCGTAGGGTAAGGACACAAAAGTGACCATTGTTCCTTGACCATGTATTTATTAGAATCCTCGATCCTGACGCCGACGTTCCCCTGACCGACAGACACCTGAGTCAGCGAGGAGCTTGGATCAGTGTACTTTTGCTTACAATTTTTGCATCAGTCAGAGCGACCTATATACATAGATCGTTCGAGATCCTTTTCTTCAGGTGAGGCAGAATTCGAGTGCTGAAAGAAACTTCATAAAAGATGTCGATATATGAAATTATATTTCTTAAACAAGAAACGCAAGATATACAGAAATACGAAAGATCCGGTCCGTTTTTTTGACTATATGAGAATGAAAATAAAAATATTTTATTTTTAGGTTCTATTCAAATAGTTAAATTCCATATTGATGAGAATTTATTTACTCTTTTTGCTAAGAATTACCATCAATTCAAAGCGTTCTTTGAACAAATTTGATTAATTCCGTTTTTTTAATTTACGGGAAAAGCAATCTTTGCTAGACACCGTTTTTTTGTAAGATTTCAAACTTAAGTGGTTTGAGTATTTTTGGGTGATTTCACCATTATTATTAACTATTATACATTATTTGCGTAGCAACTTTTAATCAGTTTCTTAGGAAATAGTTCAGTAGGATAGAGTTGCTAATACAAAAGAGTAATTTAGTTACATTAATTAAATGTCATTACTAACAAAGTCCCTTTTAAGACAAACATCCCCTTTTTTGAAAAAAAAATTATTTAACAAAATTCACAAAACCTTTTTATTATCCACTATATAGCGCAAAAGAATTCAACCCCGTTTACAATAACCGAGGGTGTAAAGTGTATCAGTCTTGAGGTTCTGATGAAATTGCTTCTCTGTGTTCATAAGCCCAAAACCCGTGAAATTCTATTAAAATACTAACAAACGTGTCGCCTTGTCCACAAGCGAGCAAATCAGTAAGAGTAATTTTTTCTCTATCCTTTGGTCGAACCATATCAAACAGTTCATCTTTGACATCTTGGAAAGGAACTGGTTGTTCTGAACCATGAGCTTTCATTTGATCCTGGATTGCTCTGAAAATGCAAATTATCTTAAATGTTGGTTATGCTGCTACTATTAGTATTATTATTATTTTGATTGAACATAAAAATAAAATTAGGAATTTTAAATGGCAGTAAAAAATCACTGATTGGTGGATTCCCTAAAAATATTTGTTACCATATGTATCTTCTAATTTCACCCATGCGACTTGAGGAAAGTTTTTTTTTTAATAACGCTTTGTTTGGCCACTGCTTCAGAAGGCATTTGGGACAACTTACAACCAAGTCAACTTATAAACAAATTTTTAACGCTTACAACACCCAACCCAAGGCACCAGGTGGGAATCGAACCCACAACCAGGCAGGTCTAACACCTTACCAACCGAGCCATCCTCGGTCTCGAACAAGAAACTGACAGTTACCTCTTAATTTTTACTGAACCCTTGACCTTTAAAGTATTTTTAATTATTCTATAACTAATTGTGTAACTAACCAAAATTCTTCATTTAACTTTAGGATAAATTATCATTATTATTATTTAGTGCCGTAAAAAACTCTCACCGAAAAAAAAAGTTCAAGGTAAACGCATCTAGGTATCCACAATTTTTAATATCAAGGATGCGGAACAGATATCCTAGGGCTTGCGGTTCGGATCGATTTTCTAATGCTAAGACAAGATCCAAATATGTTTTATAATCCATCTCGCCTCCATATGTAAGGCAAGTTTGAAATACTCTATCCAGAAATGGTTGAGTAAGCGTTCCTGAACCATATCCAGCTAGTTCCGATTTACTAAGCATTCCATTATGGTCCCGATCCAAATTTAGGTAGTGACCTACACATAAAGTAAAACACACATACTTTATTTTCTAATTTACTGAGATAAAGTCTTAGATTTTATAACATTATAGTGCAATACTGCAGAGTCAAACAATTTGTTGGAATTATTAATATAAATATAAACATTTTTTTGATATAATAGACATTATATATATATATATATATATATATATATATATATATATATATATATATATATATATATATATATATATATATATATATATATATATATATATATATATATATATATATAATTTCACGTATTGATTCACGGATGGAAAAATGTGATGACACTATATTCCGGGATGTCATCTGTTCGCTTGTTGAACTCCGACTGGAATCCTGCTCCGAAGTGTTTTCGGACCGCGAGCATTGAAGATGCCAAGTGAGAGTTTGGCGAAACATCTGCAGGATTCCAGTCGGAGTTCAACAAGCGAACGGGATGATATCCCGGAATATAGTGTTATCATATATATTATATATATATATATATATATATATATATATATATATATATATATATATATATATATATATATATATATATATATATATATATATATATATATATATAATTTGGATCATTCCGCCTTACATGCTCAGAGCAAAAGCATCAAATCTAAAACTATGACTGAACTTTTGCCTACCATAGATTCTTAAGGCTGAAGGCGCGCTAAACCAATTTTGTTCTTGAACATCTTTACTCAAATCCTCATCTCTTAATTCTAATAAATCATCCAGAAATGAACAAGCCAAAATATCTAGAATTCTAACTCTGTTTGCTCGGACCACATCTAAGAAGAACAGAAATTTTCGTACTGCTGTACAAACATAAAAGCTATGAAACGACGTCTCGAGGCCATCTAGTTGACACAAAGTGGGCAACAATTCTGATATATAATTTTCCAATTCATTTTCTGTCAAATATCCTGCAAATCACAAGTAAATACTTACACTGATTTATTATAGAAATTTAATTTGCAATAAATGGCCATTGAAAGCTAATTCAATTTGATATGATATTATATAAAGATTTATAAGAAATAGATTTAATTACTTCACAAAAACTGAAAACTCTTTTTTTACGTTAAAATTGTGTGACTAGTTAAATGGTCTATGACAACTTCTGCATATATGAGATCTTTTACTAAGGAAATAAACTTCAGTAAAAATAGAAATGTTCCTGCTTCCTAATTTACCATACATACCTTGTCCTGTGTTATCATATAAAGAGAGACCAACTCGTGTTTGATCTAGCCACACTTTTCTCATCACATAGTTAAAAAGAGAAATAATAGACACCCTTCCTTGACAATCATCTTGTTGCAATTTTGCAAATACACTAGGCTTAAAGTAAGGTTTAACTTTTTTACCTGCTAACTGAGCAACCTTTTGAAAATCTGAATAAGATATAAGCTGTTCATCTATTAAGTTTTGATTTTGATCTAATAAAGTCCACAATTCATTTAATTCATTTCTCTCTAGCAAAGGTAAACTCTTTCTCTTTAGAAGATTGGATCGACTTTCCTCACGAAGTTTATAGCGCAAGGGTTCAGACTCTTTGGGAGTTTTACAAAAAAATTTGGGAATTCCGGCAACTTGTTCTGATTTTTTGCCCCAATTATCAAGAAAAGTATTGAAATGTTTATCTTCATTGGTTAGATCTTCTAAACTAGTGACATATTCTCCTACAACCTGCTTATTAATACAAAATATTTACAATGTTTTCAAGATCTTACCTTGAGCAATTTTTGTTTTCAGCAGAATTTTTAAATCCATATCATTAAATGAAAAGGCTTCGCTATTGTAATTTTGAATAATATCGGTCCTTTTGTGACTGCCACTAAATTAACAAAGTACCCGTTCCTAGTTGAAATTATTCCTTTTCCAAAAACACAAAATAAAACTTATCCTAGGGTATATTGTTATTATTTATAATATACCCCAGACCCCAGCACAAGTAGTCTTAGAGTATTTCTATTAGTGATGGGTTTATTCGAATAAAAATTTCCTGTTATCCGGTTTTTAAAATATCTTATGTTTTCATTTCCAGTTAATCGAATGATAAAGTTTATTAAATTTCATCTCAAAAATATGGGATCAAGCCTATTTCTCCTTAAGGCAAGGCTCAGAACCTGTATTTAAAACCACGCTCTCGGATGGAGCTAAAGTATTAGGAATACATAAATATTTCATTGCCATTTCGTTCATTTCTGGTTATTTTCATTCATCTTCAAAATAATAAATATAACTAAAATATTTACTCACATTAATTAATTTTTAATTTAACTTGCTATTAACATTTTTCAAGACTTCAAGATTAAGTTTAGATTGAGAATATTGAGATTATTTAGGTACGAGTTACGGTGCGAATATCGATTGAGTGACGCCAAATTGCGTAACGCACTGATCCAGACCCACCGAAACGAAAACGTAAAATTTAATTCGAATATATTCAAACACACACACACACGCGCACACAGATTCTTCTTTTTGTCATTTCACAAAAAGTTGGGCAAAACTACAATGATCATTTGCCAATGAGTAATAGAATAATATATCTGTTGATTGACATTATACCGCCAATTAACCCTGGCTTTATTATGGTTTGGTATTATGCATTTAATTTTTAGTTACTGATTTTCGCGGTAGATATGTAAACGAGGTGGTTCCACCGAGGTAGATAGAGGAAAAGTTTTCCAGATGAATAGATTTCCTAAAAAAAAAAATGCGAGTTTTTTAGTGGTAGTATTTGATTTAATGACGAAAAAAGAATGCTTCCAAACGGCCCTTCACTTATCCTCTAGGCCCCTCATTGTTGCAGGCACACTGTCTACTATTGTTAAGTAAACACCAGCCATTGACTTGTTACTTTTTTTTTCGAAAGTATACGCGCTTGGCAACGAAACTTATATCTTGGCAACGGTAGGTCCTAGGGGACCGCCATGGGTCCAGAAATGATCAGCATCGAAAAAAATATATTTTTTTTCTGTTCTCCGTTTCTCTGTAGACCTGGCATTAATTGGCTATATCCTTTGAACGGTTTGCTACACAGCTTTCAAATTTGGCTCCTTTTAAGCTGTGTATGAGCAACATAAAAATGGGTCCGCTCAAACCACGGATTTTCGTCTGTTTTTTGGACTTTGTTATGAAACACGATAAATGTCCGAAATTTGAAGCCATCCACTTAAAATTTGACACATATATAGAGTTTAGCTCCGTAACGAAGCCTATTAAAACTGGAGGGCCTGGGGGGTCGAGAAGTATTTTTTAAAAATTAAAAACCGCACTTGCAGGCACTTGAGAAAATAATCATGTCTTCAAGACGGTAATATGATCGAAAAAATTCTTTAACCAAACGATGCGCAATATCCGGACCAGAAACCTTTATTTCGTATGATTTTTTAAAAATGTACAGGGTACGTCGGTAATCTCCAAAAAACTGAAAATTGGTCTACCTTTGTTATGATAATTGACCATAACAAAGAAGGCTGTGATTCTGTTGACAGTTTTTTCTACATAGCTATATAGCCCGGATGGACAGCTAAAACTTTTGTATTTAAAGGTGTTCGGGATATTCCGTGCTATATTCAAAAACGTCATAAGTGACCCAAATATGTAGCTATCGATTCTAAATTTGGCAAGGAAGTAAAAGTCCCTACCCACATCTAAACAGTAGAATTTGAGCGTAATCAAGTATCACCAAATATTAAAAAAAAAATTGAAAAATTTTCTTTGAATATTTTGGCTTGAAGAAAAAAACGATTTTCTCAAAAACTATTCAATAGATTGGCAACATTTTAGATCCAGAAAATGCGGGAAATCCAGGACTATGACATTTATTACAGATATTTTTTTGGATTGTTTATATGATTTTTTAGTTATGGACAAAAATCCAAAAGACGATAAAAATCGTTCTTTTCGCTATTAATTTATCAGTCGTAAATCAAAATTCGTGAAAACTATGGCCAATTGGTTTAAACAGTGTAATAAGCCACACCGTGAGCTACAATTTTTGTACTTGTTTTCATCTGCCGCATACGCTGTTCGAGATATTTGAAAAAATCCAAATGAAAATCACAATTCCTCGCCCTCAATCGAGATGCTATGACGTCATTGATTATTACGGCGTACTGCATGGTTTCAGAAAATAAGTATTTTCTTGAACACCACTTACTCTATTGGAAAAAATTATACACCGGGAAACGTGGGAGATCCAGAGCTATCACCCTTATTTCGAACATTGTTTGAATTATATGCAGGGTGTTTCGATTTTTGCCAGAAAATGTAAAAGTTCCTTAAAATTTCCGTTTTTGTGGGTAAATTATTTTCGATAAATGAAAAACTGTTAAAGATGTGATAATTTGATTTGAACAGCTTTTTGTCGTAGTAGGGCAACTATATTATCTCATAGCTATATGGCAGAAACAATAGCTATTAGATAATATAGCGGCCCTATTGCGGTAAAAAGTGATGATTGCCGTGATTTTTCTGAAAAAATTGACTAACTTTCATAAGAACGCAAAATCAGTCTCTGAAATCCGAAAATAATTGGCAACGCCGAGTAGGATTTGCTATTGCCAGAGAATACTAACAGTTTATTACGATGTTTTTTTTGGTGGTTATGATTTTCTCCCTACCTTTTTCGTGTTTTTGTGAAAAATTTGTTTGTGGTCAAAACTCTAAGGAAAAGAATGTACCTTATGTGCAAGTTAATTTAAAATATTTAAAAGTGGTTTCTTTAGGACTCCCACTCACAAACTTGTATAATTTGTGCTTTCAATACTTGCTCCTTCACAAACCCGAGTGATTTAACAAACTGCAAGGTACACTTAAATAGCTAAATAGGAAAGATGTTTTAGTGTACAAGAATTACAGGAAATGTAAGAAAGCAATGAAGCTGTAAGTTTTACTAGAACAATCACAAGAAATATTTCTTGATAATTACAAATCGTTGTAAACCTCAATGTGGGAAAGTTTTCGTTTGTCATCATCAAACTTAGTGAAAATGAAATTGACTTTCCGTTGGTGAAAAACTACAGAAAGTATTACCACAGAAAGTGGGGAATTACCAGAATCAGTTCAGCTGCAACAGGAAGAACTTAAAATATGCACCTGCAGGATATTTTTGGGAAGTCTGAAGGCATTATACTAAATCTTCGAGAATTACCCGGAATTCTAGGCGACTATTCAAAATTTTGGGGTACTTCATTTGTAGGTCACCTACCTCCTTAGAGAGGTAAGTTAATACTGCAGTACTTACATACACAATTTGACGCTGATTAAATAGAACCAGTTCTATCAATAAAATAATAATAATAATAAAAAAAACTTGAGTAGGAAAAATATTATATGCACAACTTGGGGGAACGGATATTGATTAGTCTCCAGTTATTTTCCCAACCCTTGCTTAGGTCGACAGTTATGTCCTTGACTCGTAAGTATCACCTACCTCCATTGTGTGAATCACTATTTAGTACAAGTTGTGGGACTGATCCATATTCTCTATCCCATTTTTTTGTAGACTTGCACATATGTCTGTTTCTTAGTTTTTATATAATAATCACTTATTCAGGTAGTGTCATTCAATTTACATTTTATTTTTTAGTTTACCAAAAGATGAAATTGTCAGGAAACAATGGATAACATTGCTTGTCAAGGAGCTTCCAGGGAGGATGATAGCTTTAGAAGATCATCCATATGTGGAGGTCAGATCACTCCTTTACGCTATAGAAGCAGTGTTAAAGTCTTGATAAAGTTGGCAGCGTTTGGTAACATATTGTCAACAAGTAACAAGCAGTAACATATTGTCAAGTGCTTCTGACTTAAATTTTGTTTCGAATTTACAGTCTTTTAGGTAGATATTGTGATCAGTTGTAAATCAGGTTACCTGTTTTCTGGTCATTCTATTTTCCGATGGTATTTAACAGCCCATATTTAAAGTGCTAAATGGTACCTTTTTTTTTTCTAACCACACTGATAAAATTTATCAAATATTTCCACATTCCTCAAAAATATTTTGGCGTTTTTAGGCTTTATTTCCAAGAAGTCAACATAATTTTATTCCTAGGTAGAACTAGAGCAGAAACCAGCAGATCTTTAATCTTCAGTGGTAGTCAAAACAACATTACAAGTTATAGAGAAGCCTGGCACATAATAACCAGAGGTCATCAGTTTTTAAAAAGAACTTAAGGCACAGTAACATATTGTCAACAAGTGCTTCTGACTTAAATTTTGTTTCGAATTTACAGTTAATGAAATTTGTAGTTATTCTAACTAATAATTACCAATATTTTATTGTATTATAAATGAATATTTTTTTTATTGGTTTCATATTCTTTTTTCCAATTTTTAAAGGTGGTGATCCTCTCAAATCAAATAATATAAAAGTTCCTTGGAAAATAAAAAATAAATATTATGCTATTAAAAAATGCAGCATATATTTTTATGTAATTTCTTATTGTATTTATAAGTAACAATATAGTTTATTCTCTTTCAATAAAGGCCTTATTAAATAATTCATGTATTTATTTATACTATTCAAAACGAGTTAATAAAACACTATTTAAAATGCGATTATAATTAAAAGTAAGTCGTAGTTGTGGCACAAACCACAATCTTGTCTACAAAACCAGGATTGAGTGTGCACCTGGAAAAAAATATTTCTTAATAGGACATCTTCCTTTTAAAATTTCTCATGTCGGATTACACTTTTAAAAAATCCCGAGCATTTCTGGAAAAGTAATTTTTAGTTATCTACATTTGAATCCAGATTTCAATAAAATCTTGCTAAATTGTGAATTAATACTATTATCTGAAGCCCGGTAGACACAATGCAATTTCTACGTGTATTTAATAATTGCAGTTAAATATTTTTAACCGGAAATTTTTTGCGGTAGCCGCTATGCAATTTTTGCTAGAAAAATGTTTTTTAAATAACTAACAATAAACTACACTTTTTAGGATTTGGTAATGTTAATTCTGTTACATTTAGAGCTAATTGTTTACTGACTTGTTTTATACTAGTTTTTAAATTTTCTTGATTACATTTTCCAATACCTACAGTTTTTTAACGAAATTGTCCATTGGTACTTTTGGTAATTATATATTTGCGAGGCAATCTCCAACATTTTTTCCACTTAGATGTTTCCAGTGCGATATTTAGTACATCAAAGTTATATTTACACTTTTAGAGTCACATTTGGTGAATTCGACTGTATTTACATTTTCAATGAAGGTTAAACCAGTAAATTTATAACAACAAAATACCTGGTATCGTGTCTGTTAAGCTTAAAGCCGAATTACTTACAAAATTAAAGACGCCAATCCGTGTGCTGTAATTCAGTATAATGCACTTGTGGCTAATTTTTTTAACAACGCTTTTCACACCTTAGTTTCTTTTTTGCCTGAAAATTTAATAGCATTTCGACATATTTTAAGAAAATACTGCCGTAAAAATGCAGCATCCAAACATTAAAGACCTGTCAGCAGCCATGCTGGTTGTTGGAAGCCGCAAGGCGCAAGGACTTCCTATATTATTAGCATAGGCAGGGCCTATATATGTCTAGTAGCTAGATGGGTACAAACCCTTGGTCACTCAAAAGGTTTCCTATTTTTGTAAACTGAGACCTATGCGTTGGATTAGACACTGTATCAAACGCCTTTTGTAGGTCAAGAAAAACAGCAGCACACTTATTGCCACCGTCCAGATTGTTAATGATTTCGGTAGTGAGCTCCACTATTGCTAACTATGCTATGCTAGATTCGATGTCATATAATAAGAGACTAGATATAAGAATTCTTTAAATTCTTATTTAGGAATCTCGTAATTAAATTAGTCTCTATCCTAACATTTTCATCATCAATACCAATGTTATCCAAAATTTCAATTTCACTTGCAAACACTTGGGACTTGAGAGTAATCAAAATAGATTTGTAAATCTTTTGACTAGGGAGTTTAGTTACTTATTTAATATTTATGAAAAGTTTGGTTACACCCCCAGAAACTGCAGATCCCTTTAGCTCCATAATGACCATATTATTCGATAGCAATTCAGCTTCCTTTTTCTCAGAATGGATCTTTTTATTAACTCATTTTCTTTTACCAACAGTCTGTTTTCTGCTACGATATTGTTGAGATTTTCTCTTATTTCTTCCATTCTTCCATTCCCGGTGCACGACTTACAGTTGAGACTTCTGAATATAGATCATCATTATACGATACGCATCCCACGAATTGATTTGTTTTTGTTTTGCGTTTAGGAGCGGCTAAATCAGAATTTACGGGTCATTATTTAATTGGTCCGTTTTGAATATTTACGTATCATTATCACGGCCAATCAGAATCGATGCCAATTGGTAAACCTAGTGTGAAGATTCGTTTTTCCCTGTTGAAACAATGTACTTAATTAATAACCGATTCTTCCATCAATAAAACACAACGCACCGATGACGCTTTCTATTTTCTATTATCTATGCCAATGACGCACTTTTCATCCACAGACCAAAAATGTATATTTCATCAATACTGTCATGTGACATAGATCTCAGTTTCTATTGGTTGCTTTACGGAAGTGACGCTTACAGATCAACCACGCATTCTCGGTGCGCAGTCCCTTTTGCTTAATCAATTTTCTTTGTAGGTGTTTAGTGTAATGGAGGTATTTTATGTTCATGAAATTATTTAGTGTCCTGACTTTTCTGATGTTTAATAAGCCATTATGACTTTATTTAACGCGCAGTTGTTAACAAAAACTATAAACTTTCACGGTCAGCAAATTCAAAAACTGTGGGAAAGTGAATACGGTGAACATGACTTGGTCAGAAGAAATATTAAGGACCTGAATTTTCACGTTTATGGGCAACGTCAAAAGAGTTTATCATTCCAGGATCGAGGTAAACGTTTAAAATTGCAGCAATTTATAGTAAAAAAAGCAGATTTAATATTTACCATGTTACCATCGCCTCCCAAGCTTAGTAGCGACCTTGAAGTCACAGAAGACATGTATGCAATTACACCGCCATTTGAAATATATGTTAATGCTGAACGCCAAAAACGATTACAGTTTTTTACAGAAAATGTTAAGATAGGTGATTTAATTTTGGGAACAATTGTTAGCAAGCAACAATCTGGAATGATGCTAAAAGTTCTTTGTACTACAGGAAATGATGGTATCAAATATGCAGCAGATATTAATATTAAAGCTTTTTGTCCAGTTGCTAATGTTATTCCTGCTGTTGATAAAAAGGGTGTTTCACGAAGTTATATGATGAATGACTATGTTTGTTGTGAGGTATTGGAGGTGATTGCTGACACAGACAAAATGGTATGTGGTATGAAAGGAGTTACCAGAAAACCTGGTGAGAGTGATCCGCACCCACCTTTGGGTCTTATCAGCACCGATGATTTTCCTTTGGTTTATAAAAAATCACTTGATCACAAGAATGAAAGTTTCGACTCTGTATTAGAAAAGAGTATTGGTTTTAATAATCCCAACAACATACAATTCTTATCAGAACACATGGGTGTCTCTGACCACATTTCAATAATGAATGGATTAAAATCTCGGTTTCCAGAAAATGAGTATGCTGTTGAATTACGTCAAATTCAAGCAAGTAAATGGGCTTACCGTAATGTAGCTGATGGAATAGACCATTTTAAAGCTGGCAAACATGTAGAAGCATTTCAATGTCTTAATAAAGCCCTTAATATTGATCCCAGGAATGTGGAAGGTTTAGTTGCTCGTGGTGCATTATATGCCAATAGTGGAAATTTCCAAAAAGCTATTGAAGATTTTGAAACAGCTTTAAAGTTAAATCCCAGCCATGCTAATGCACGTAAATACATGGGAGAAACTCTGGTTGCATTAGGAAGAAGCTATGAGGAAGAAAATAATATAGAAGAAGCTCGGAAGGCCTATCAAAGCTGCTTGAGTATCATTCCTTATCATGAAGAAGCAAAGAATTCCCTGGAATTTCTGAAGAACAAAGAAAAGCAAGCCAGCAAAAACTTGATAGAACCAGGCGAGTTGTTACTTCCCAACTTACCATCTGTTTCAAAACAAACTACCAATGTAAATGATGCATTGAAGCAACTTTTGAAAGATGAAGAGGCAGAAAAGAAAGAGAAAAAGAAGAAAAAGAAAACCAAAAAACGTAAAAATAAGAGGCATTCAAGTTCTAGCTCTAGCTCAAGCTCCTCAGGTAGCGGTGATAGCTCTTCTAGTTCTTCTAGCAGTAGCAGTGAATCTTCATCCTCGAGCGGTGATTCTGAGTTTAAAAAGCGGAAGAAACATCGTTCACGTTCCCACCGCCGTGAAAAACATGAAAATTCTTTAAGTCCTTTAAGCAAACGAATGGCAATGATGGATGCCCAGTCCCAGGATGCGAACAATTTCAATTTCAATAAACCAGCGTCTAGTGCATTTGATTTTAGTTTTGAAGAACCTCAGAAACCGAAACCAATAGCTGAATTGGACTATGAAAATAAGGTTAAGACATTTCTATTGGAGACGAAGGATGATTCAGATTATGAGGCAAAAGTACGGAAGTTCCTAGAAGAAAGTGCAAAATGGAAGAAGGGTAAATCAGATGATAAGAAGAAGAAGAAAAAGAAGGACAAGAAAGTTAAAAAGGAAAGCAAAAAAAAGAAGAGGAAGGAAAAAGAAAAACTGAAACGGAAATCTTTAGATTTGGACTTGGATGACCATAAGAAACTTCGAGATGCTATTAAAAAAGAACTCAGTAAAGAGAAGAAAAAGAAACATAGCATTCACTCAGATGATGAAGAATACTTTTTAAAGTCTGGGTATTCAAAAAGATTTATTGAAAGTCTACCTGATTTAGAAGAGCTTGAATCCAAATTGAATGCATATTATGCATTGGAAAAAGAAAGTAAAAGAAGTGAAATAAGCGAATCACCCAAACATTCAATGTTGGATTCGCCATCTCCAACAAGAGAACAAAAAGCAAGGCAAGCAGTGGCTGAGGCAGCAGCTTCTGCTGGTAAATGGAAAATGCATATTGGACCGCCATCCCAGGCAGCTTCTCGATTTAAGAAAAAACAATCAGAAAGACCTCCCTCTCCTGAGTGGCATTCAGAGTCTGCTCCAGAAAAGATGAAATTGAAAAATAGCAATACTGGTTCAAGTAGTTTTGATGAACCCTCTTCCTCCAAACGAACCCCACTGCCTCCACCGCAACCAGCAGAAAAGGCAGTAAGTGTACGCAAGCAAATGGCTATGAAGGAACCTCCACCAAAAAGATCAGATTCTCCAAAGAAAATGAAGCCAATGGCAGTACCACCGTTACCGCCGGGTCCAAAAATTCCACAAGGACAAGTAGTTTTAGACAAATTCGGCAATTTTAGATTGATGACACCTCCAGAAATGAAGAAAAGTCATGACTTAGGCCAATTACTGGCAGGACGACGCCCGCCCGAGCCTCCTGGTAGACCCCGTTCAGATAGCCGATCTCCAAAGCGCAGAAGCCGTTCTCGATCCAAATTTAGCAGATCTCGTAGTACGAGTATGTCCAGAAGTCGATCGAGAAGCTATAATTCCAGGTCTCGCAGTTACTATTCACGCAGTCGTTCACGCTCTGGTTCATATTATTCTAGAAGTCGCTCTAGGTCACGCAGTTATTCGGGAGAACGAAGATTTAGGAGACGAGGTGGATTCCGTGGAGGTAAATATTTTTCTGGTAATTTGTTAGAAATAAAAAAAGTGATATTCTATCTGTTTGAAAGTGTTTTAAAACAACCTTGGAAAGATAATATCAAATGCCAAAAAAAACAGTAAAACCTAACTAATCGGGATTTAAAAAAGAGGCCCCCATAAGATTTTTTTTGTATTAAAGTGTGGCTCCCCACATATCTTGTTTATCTTGGTAAAATATCAAATTTATTTTCAAAAAATTTTTTTGTTATAAAAATATCAAGAACTGTATCAAGAAACAAATTACAAAAGTGCAAAAGTTCCTTGCTTTTTCTCAAGATACATCAGAGCAACATCAATTTAAAAAATAATTTTGTTTTAAACTCTTATTAACAAAACAATGGATTGGGAAGGTTTTCACGAGAAAAAATAGTAAGCAGGTATTAATAAAACTCACCTACAATTAGCTTAATTATTAGTTCATTTTACCATATTAACGACAGTTTTAATCAAATTGTAAAAGCTGCAAACTTCAGATTGACTAAAACTATGCTGCTATAGTACTTACTTTTGCTATTAAACTATTTTATTAAATCTGGGTAAAAATATATAATAATAATATTATTATAACTTTGTTGATAATGAAATGTTTACTATTTGATGATTGATTTGGGAAAAAAAGAATGACTATACATTTTGATTAATTTTTACTCAAATACAGTTTTTGAATTTTGTATTGTGTGATTGCGTTGACGTCAATTGCAGTGCTTATTGTGGTCTGAATTGTTCTCGATTGGTGAAACTTTTCTGTTATACAAATGGAATTCACACTGCGTAAAGATACATTTTTCATACTTTACCGTAAAGATACATTTTTCATACATTACCCAAAGTTTATTCAATCTCGGTTATTCAATTAGTAACGCAGATGTGCTAGAACAAAATAGAATTAAAACTATTGGCTTTATGATTTCTAGTTGTGTATTGGTATCTTAGCTTCTGGTGATGTGTTTTTAACATGCAAAAAAATACTATACCTATTCAGGTATGTTATTTTTGATAGAAGTGATAGAAGTTTCAGTATTTGGAAAATACTGGGAAAGTTTGTGATTATAAGTAAGGAGCGGAAAATGCAGATATGCATTTTTATTATATGAAAAATTATGAATATTAATGTTATTGTATATAAACTCAGAATCATTTCTTTATAATTAAACCTGCTCTTCCAAAATTATATAATTTTTTATCTATTCCATAGAATATTTGAATAAATATAAGTGATACAAAAAAAAATCTTCAAAGTTTTTTTTTTTGATTTTTATTTAATCCTTAGCAAATTCAAAACATAAGTCTTTCAGTGACAATAACAAACAATATTATTTGCGATTATAAAACAATTAATAATTTAACAATACCATTGATACATTCTGATATTAGCAACTTGCACAACATACAATTCGTAAATTTACAAACTATTCTTCACAGTTATTTACAGTTTGCTTGTAAGTGACATCAACTATCTTTACGTACAGTTGACTCGTCCTGTAAGTTAAATTTACAATATTTTGTGAAAAATTATCCTAAATTGGAGATAGCTGGTTTTTTAAGTGATATATTAGCTCCAATAAATGCCTGACATAAGTCCTCATTGAACTGGGGATGTTCGCTGTTTTTTGGTTTTCTTCAATATAATTTTAAATTGCTGTTTTATTGATTTGACATCCACAATCAATTTTTGATCTGCATGAATCTTTACAATTCAAAAAAGGATTTTTACATTTAAAAAAAAACAATTTTAATAAAATGTTCCCTATTTCCTACAAATAAAATATTTTAGTTGAAAACTTAACATTAGCTATAATATAATTTACTTTATCAAAGGCACGGTGTTGTCGAAACAATTGTCTTGTCAAAATATATAATTTCATGAAAATCTGAACTTTTGGTTCTTATTTATTTTGATATAGAAGTTAGTTTTCGGCATTTTAACAAGCACTGGACAGACAGAACCAGACACAATTCAGTTCAACAAGGCAAGGAAGTAAACGATACCAAAGAGATTAGAAATTGCAACCCTTTTGAACTATCGGATTCTGTTTGCAATATCGTTTCAATAATTTAACAAAGAACCTTTTGCTTTTACTGGGAATACCCTATTATGTAGGTTTATCCTGGATAATTATATGAAGTTCTTCATATATAAGAAAGCAGTAAAGTACAGTCAAGGAGGGTCGGACAGGGTCTTTATTTGGCAATAAAATGCAATAACTTCCCTAGTATTAAAAAAAATGCATGTTTTGTACAAAGCAGACAAAAAAATGCACTTTGCATTTTCTCCGCTCCTTAATTATATTACATTTATTTAATTTCGTGGGTTACTAAACTGAACATTAAAATAAATCCAGCTGGCTTTCTTTCGTTCAATTGTCTGAATACTGTTACAGGCAACGTACACTGCGTATATAATTGCCAAAATAATAGAAAAAGTACATTTTTAATACATGATAATTTTAATTCTCAAAAAATAACATGTAACCTGAATATAATACAAATTTTATGTCATCTTTATGACGCGACTCATTGCTGGTATATAGAACTAAGAATTGATTGCGTGGATGAGATTTTTTAAACTATACCTAATTTACCTATCTGCTACTAACTTTTGATAGCACACAATATTTTTCTGTTCATAATCTGTTATTTAATTTGTAGCGCTATGCATTTTATGTGCAGTGTTTCTGAAAAAATATGTCGGAATATTTCCAATTTTTCCTTATACATCATATAAACTGAAGACCATTTTGTTACTATGGTAGTTTAATTGCAATAAAGGAACATTTTATTTGCACTCGTGTCCAGGAAGATTCTGTTCCTACTATAGTAGGAAGAATTTTATTGCTTTGATGCAGAGAGCTAAACATGAACACCAAATGTAAGTTTTAATCCAACACACACCTAATCCTAAACTCCTTTTCAACATCCATGTTTTGATTGCGGTTTCATTTTATCCTTAAAAAAGATATGCTTATGCTTTTAGAGAACTGAATGTAATAACATTTTGAAATATTAAGGGACATTTGTCAGTGACAAATTAATATAAAGCAGGTTGATCAAAGAATGCATGATTTGTAAGAGTATAGGTTGTGAAAAATAAATATTTTGGAGCCTTTCCTGATGAGTAAATAGGTAAGATTTCATGTATTAAAAATTTACCCAGATGAATTAGATAAGCAGGTGTCGAAAATAAATTTATTTAGGTTATTTCTAAATCGTTTTATCAGTTTCTTGCATCTTTTAATTTTGATTTAGCAATTTCCTCATTTTCGCAAACGGTGCAGAATTCAGAAAATGATGAAAATAAATGAGCATTGTCTGTTTGAAAAACAAATAATGTGGCGACGTTAAACTGCTATTTTATTCTCGGCAGTAAGTTGGTTATTGCTAATATATGGTTAAAGGATGCAAAATACTTAATCCAAATAAATTCAGAGGGAATAAATTTAAAACGTAAAAAGATTGAAAGATTTCGCTGTTTGCTGATGTTTATAAAATATTTACATCCAAGTTTTAGCCGTGCGATTTTATTGTCACATCATATTGATAAATTTAAAAGTTGAAACCAAGGTCCGAAAACTGCGGCAACAGAAATTCTGAGATTGCACCTATGGACATCGTTGTTAACCTGGATAATTTTTATGGCTTGCATAATATTTGCCAACTGGAGATTTCTAACAGACAAATGATTAAGAGCTTGTTACAGGTACTGAAAGAATTTGACAGTAAGTGTAAGCCTATGCTTTTGGAGCTGACCTAAGTGCTAAGAAATTTTAGTTATTTTGTGTAATTGTTATAAACTCTTATGAAATAGAGTTTCGTTGATAGGTAATCGTTATGATAGAGGAACATATTACAAGCCGAGATATCCAAATCCAAGACACAACGACCAGCGCGGCAGAGGACGTGGTGGATATTACAACAGAGATTCAAGATATGATAGGGACTACAGAGGAAGAGGTAGACCATATCCCTACAATAATAGGGGTCGAAGACCGCCAAGAGGCCGATTTGGCGGTAGAGGCGGTTATCGTGAATATAGAGATAGAAGATATGATAGAAGTCGTTCAAGAGATCGCAGCAGATCTTTCAGTAGATCACCTGAAAGGTATGTTAAACTTCTGGTATAATGGCACACGTGAAAATCGTATTCCCCCAACTCTCTTTTTTTTTTCTCATATTAATAACATTTTACGTTTTTACAGATCCGATGACGAAACTGCAAAGAAAAACAGAGCAGTGAGTAAAGAGAAACTCAACAAATATTCCGATGGAGCGCAAGCAGACTTAGGACAACCGGTGAGGCATGATGGGCCACTTTCTGAGGGTGAAGATCGAGACGATTATAATACAAATAATGATGGTAAGGTAGTGGATAAGGATACTTTTGCTGGTAAATGGGCCGACAAGGAAGATACTAACCAGAATAAAGAACCTTCTCCTCCCGGCAGTCGAGATATCTCAGACGAAGTAAAAGTTTGAGTAATTATTAAATTTTGAATAAAAACTAGGTAGTTTTAAAAATGTTTAGTTTAAGGTCAGTTTATTCATACCCTTTAGTTCTGCTTCTTGTATCACCTCATTTCGAAGATGGTTTAATAAACGCTTAGTGGTTAAAATGAATAGTTGGGTTTTATTTACTGTGAATCTTTCTTGCAACAAGCACAGTTTAGATATAGAAGGCATGCATAGTTCGGTACTTTCTAATAATAATCGTTTTTGCAAAACAGGTTATTCGAATTATGTATGTCATAGTTTGTTAAGCATTGTAAACTACTCGCTCAAATGAGGCCCCAACTGAGTGAGTGATTAACAAGCGCTCTTTCCATGACCATTACTTAAATAAGATTTTTTTATATGCATTTTTGCAAAGTTATCTAACAACTATCAATTCCAATATCTACTGATTTCATAAACTGAGCATTTTTAAACTGCAAAAAATTGATCCAGTTTTAATGAAATTATACTAAACAGAGTTTTATTGAAAACGTGCAGATCTTAATTAATCAATGAAAACATTACTATTAAACGACAGGTAGAATCTTGAATAACTATACTATAAACTTTAGGAAGCCTTAAGATATATTACATATCATATGAAACCTAATTACTTATACTGCAGATGTTTCGTTCGCCCAGCGACGTTGTCGGATTGTGCTAAAGCCTTTTATTTTCCAAGTTGCCCAGTTAGTTTCCCCTAAGCAACACATGTATTGTATCAGAATGATATTTTGAGTCACGAAAAATAAAGGTTCAATTATTGTGTTCTGAAACGGGCAATTAACAAAAATATTTTCTTCAAATTAGCAATTAGATTATTATTATTGGGGTGAGGCAGCTATGGGACCATTAGTTCCCACTAAGCCATATCACTTAACAGTAGTCCATCGGTGAATGACAACCCATCCAGGTAACTTTCTATGCAAGAATATATGATGAATACAAAAATTTTCTTTTATAAACTCTACGGTCATACCATTAACTGATTTACATTTAAGTGTAAAAAGTAAGAATTTAATTCAAGTGTCAGTTCGGAGTTATATTCAAATAGCACCACATATAATGTTGACTTCAAAAGATCAACTCCGTGAGTATTGAAAAACAACATCATACAGACCATTATCTATGTGGATCAATAGAATCGCTTTTAACTTTTAGCAGAAATCACCAATAGATCCCATCACCAAGTAAAGAGCAAAACAATCAGTAATTAACTGAACAGGTATTTTATTTGCTTTTTCCTTTCATTTCTAGAATGCTTAAAACTATCTAACTGATTTCACAAGTACTAAAAGTAAGGAACTATAAAAGGGAAGAAAATTACGCCGTTAAAGCAGCAGATAGACCAATACATTTTATTACCAACTCGCCACTGAAAGAACAAGACAATCAGATATTAACTGAAGAGGTATTTCAATTGTTTTTTTTTTTTTTCATTCAGAATGCTTAATAATAAAATTTTATAAGAACCAAGAGTAATGAACATAAAAGGAAAGAGAATGACTCCCTTAAAGCGGCATGTATTACCAATACATCCCATTACCACCTCACAAACAAAAGAACAAAACATTTAGTTATTCACTGGGGAGATATTTTATTTGCTTTTTTTTTCGAGAATGCTTATTAATTAAACTTTCTAGCTGATCTCAAAAGAACTAAGACTAAAGTAATATAAAAGGAATGAAAATGACCCCGTTAAAGCAGCACATATACCAATACCAACTCATAAACAAAAGAACAAAACAATCAGCCATTAACTGCAGATGTATTTTATATGCAATTTTTTCATTTTTTGAATGCTCTTTAATAAAACTATCTAACTGATTTCTCAAGAACTAAGGGTAAAGTAATATAAATGGAAAGAAAATGACCCCGTTAAAGCACCGGATATACTGATACATCCTATTACCAACTCACCAACGAAGGAACAAAAAAATCAGAAATTAACTGAAGAGATATTTTATTTGCTTTTTTTATTTATAGAAAGAATGCTTATTAATAAAATTATCTGATTCCACAAGAACGACCACACAGTAACGACCTGTGCTATGCTAAAATTCCTTCTTCTGTTAGAGAAAGACTCGCAATTTGGAGAAACCAAAGCAATTACGTTTATGCAGTGACACCCTTGCTTTACACATATACATCGATGTGTTGAGCGTAGATTGCTATAACAAATTAACGAAAAATATTAACATAAATGCGGATTATAATATAAAATATAAATATTTAATAGAAAAAGGGTATGCGATATTCAGTTTTTAAAATTAGAGACTTATATTAAAGAATATAACCATTTAGAACAGGAAGCCTTACGATTTATGATTATTAAAACGTATTTCAAATCGTGGTTATACTCAGCATATATTGTTTTCCTTTTAGTTTTATGATTGAATGTATTTGAAATAACCTTATAAACCTTTTTGTTGTCAAATTTTAAGTAATTAAAATAAATGTGATAAAATTTTTACATACTGCTTTATAATAGTTTCCTTCTAATCTATACCGGTTGTCTCAGTAAGGGAAACAATGTAGGGTATTGAGGAAAATGCTGGAAATTATTTTTGAGGTTCTGAAATGGTTACCAGGGAGAATTTTCTGAAAAAAAGCAAAGAAATATTTTTTTTATCATTTGATAGTCAAATAAGAGCACAACAACCTAGTGAAACTTGCATCTTTTTCTAACCAAAGTATGGTATTTAGTCGTAAACATTTGCGCGAAACAGGACGATTTTTTAAAATTAGAATACTATAATCTTAATTTTTTTATTTCGAATATTATGATGAATCAATGAAGCTACTTTTACGAGCAATGGAGGGGTTACTTTGCATAATATTCATAATTATGAATTGCTTATTGCATACTATGCATTATCGCCAGTGAATCTTCATTGGATGCGTGAAACGAATTATCAAAATCGGTGGAGTGTGATACTTTGGGTGATCCAATTATGGCACCATTATTTTCTAATGGTCAAATTTATTTGAACTTTATATGAGACTACTTGCCGATTTTATTAGAAAACGTCCCTTTACAAACGAGAAGAAATATGACTATATATGACTACAACACTACGGATGTCTCGCACACTCTTCGCACGATGGAATTTTTTAGACCAGACTTATCCAAAGCGTTGGATAGGAAGAATCAATTTGTTTCTATAGCTTGTCAGATCTCCAGACCTCACTGTGCTGGGCTTTACCTCTGAGGTAGAATAAAAGATTTTGTTTATCAAACTCGCCCTGGTCACCCTGAAAATACTTTTGATCCTATCCGAAATGCTGTGCCCAACCTTTCGAGAGCTGAAATTACTGCACCAGTATTAAATGCTCGACGGACGCAGGATAAATTCCTACATAGAAAGTGGGATTTTGAACATTTCGTTTTGAACTTGTATAGTAGGATATATGAACGATTATGCAACAAGTGTGGTAAACATTTTTGCAAAACTACACGAATACATTCACTGGCATGATCGTCAGAATTAGACAAACGTCAAAATTCAGGCCGTGCGGTAAATCTCCGAAACTCGTGCATTAATATCCCGGAACTGTCCGAAGTGGGTCGGAACCGTTGGAAACGGAATGGAGTGGAAGAAAGTATATTATGCAACAAGTGCGGTAAACGGCATTTGACTCACGAATTTATTTGACACGAGCGCAGCGGAGTGAGTTAAAAAGTTTACCGAACGTGTTGCGTACTATACATTTTCTACGACCGTTAGTATTTGGGTACATTTTCGCAAAACAACACGAATACATTCACTGATATTATTATCAGAATTGACAAACGTCAAAATTCAAAGCGTGGGAAATATCTCCGAAAACATCCGATTGTTACCAAACCCGTGCAGTAAAATCCCGGAAATGTCCGAAGTGGCTGGGATTCATGGGAAACGAAACTGACGTGGTAAAGTTACGTTTCCCGCACGCTAGATCGGTGGGTAATTAGGTATTTTACAGACGGGAGTGGAAAAAAAACTTTACCGAACTTGTTGCGTACTATACTTTTTCTACGACCGTTTAGTTTGGGTACTTTTTCGCAAAACCAACACAAATACATTCACTGACATGACCGTCAGAATAAACAAACGTCAAAATTCAAAACGTGGGAAATATCTCCGAAAACATCCGATTGCTCCCAAACCCGTGCGCTAAAATCCCGGAAAAGTCCGAAGTGGCTCCGATCCGTGGGAAACGAAATTGACGTGGTAAAGTGACGCCTCCCACACACTAGATCGATGGGTAATTAGGTATTTTACAGACGGGAGTAGAAAAAGACACTGAGTTGCGATTTTCACTGGGTCGTTGAGCTCTTTTTTAACCATCTAATGAATGTTAGTAGACAGTGTTCGAAGTGTTTTCGGAGCGCGAGCATTGAAGATGCCAAGTGGGATTTTGGCGAAACGTCTGCAGGATTCCAGTCGGAGTTCAACAAGCGAACGGATGATATCCCGGAATATAGTGT